CTCCCTGGGTCAAGCTGGAAATGAGAATATAATCTGTTGGCAAGGAAACCAGCAATTATTCATTTCTGTTGCAGGATGAAAGTTTGCTCAAAAAATAATAAAAAACAACTTCTCTTGGTTTAAGTGTAAATAAGGTGCTGGAGAGCTACTGTACCAAATATGCTGCCATAAAATCAGTACAGCTTCTTCTATACCAGAATTATAAAGGATTTCATAGCACAGAGAAAAGATGGGGTGGATGAAGTATTTCCAAAGTATGCAATAATGACTTGCAGCGATGAAAAAAACACGCATTTAGGCTATTTGAAGCTGATGGGAATTTTGTGGGCTCTAGAGTGGACTTAATCAGAAGGTATCATTTGACAGTGAAAGCCTGGAGCCAATTCCAGGCTAAGTATTTCTCCCCGGAATGCATTGGCTGAGAGCAATAGTTAAGAAAGCATTAGATAACAGAATGGTGAGAGATATTTGAAATTAGTTGCCTGGCTGTGTTCATGGGAAGGAACCAGCAGCAATACACACAACTACAAATTACAGTGGCAACAATCCCTCCAGCACGTCGACCTGTTTTAGCAGAGCGGTTCTGGGAGCAGAAGCCCCTCCGGAAGTCTGGATCGTTTGGAAAATCTTTAAGTATCTGATGCATTTGAATCCTACAAATTCACTGGGGACAAACTCATGCCTGTGATATCAGGGGGGAGCCTCCACGAATGCTCGTCCCACCGTATGACATCCCGTCAGTGGGCGCGCGCAGCGGGAGCTGTGGAATCTCAGTTCTGCGCTCATTCACAGCCCAGGGAGAAATATTGTCACCTCTCTGCCTCTTGGATTGCAGAAGCAGCTGGGAAGCAGAGCAGTCCCCTGACATATGGTGGAACAACCTCTCCTTCTTAGGCAGGTTTTTTAACTTGTGCTGTGCTGATAAGGCTCTTTATAGAACGACCCCGTGCTCGAATAACTGCATATCGCAGGGTCCTGTGTCTTCACTTCTGCCTTCCCTCATTTGCCTGACATACTCTTCTCCACCAGAAGCAAGAGAAAGGGCTGGACTGTCCTGCTGGCCCCCTGCCACGGGTAAAATAAAGCCTTTCTTTTCTCTGTCACTTCTGGGATGACATGCAGGAACTAGAGCAGAAATCAGAAACCAAAGGCATTAGCACTTACATCTCCAGCTCTGCCTGGAGCCTTACTTCCCTCAGAGTATTCCCAGCCTCTGTCGTTCTCCCACTGCTGACTTCAGGTAAAAGGGAGAAAGACTTACAGATCTCAAAAGTAACATTGGATCACACTAATGTAACCCCTACTACTAAATCTGCAGGAGATCCCGAAGATACCCCAAAGGAAGCAAAAACTCAGAAAATCTTCAAAGTTTCTGTGCTGTTTTCCCCTTTCTGCAACGACTTACACAACTAAAGCTTTCACTGTTATATTGTGAAGATATCCTATGATTGAGAAAACGTCTCTCCATCCCAAACACATCTAGTTCATCACATTTTGACCCTCACTCAGTCTTGAGTGACACACCTATGTAATTTTTCCTTTGATCTCCACCACAAGGTAGCCTGCCACGACCACCTTCCACTCATGAGTGGCTTCATGCCCTGTTTCTAACCATTTTATTATGGCCATCTTTCTTGGTTTCCTTTCATTTAGTTCCAATGGTATTGCTGTCCAGTGAGGCAGAAGCTCTCTGTTATCTTTTTGGCGTGTTCCAGGATCTCTGGATGTTTGGCTTTTAAACATAGGTAATTATGTTCTTCCAAAACACATTCACTTCAGCTTCATTGTTACAGAAAGCTGAACTTTCTGTTCTACAGAAATTACATTGGGGCATTGAAAAGTACAGTGGAAATAAATGATTCATTACAACAGGTGAAAATGCTTTTGCAATTGCGTACTCTTTGGTCAGGAGGTATTTTTGATCTGTAGGACTTTCCTCTGGGTTTTTGGTTGTTTTTCCTATCCACACAAAAGCAGAGAGTCCTAAACTACCAGGTTTCCTTGCTGCAGGCTCTGTCTCTATAGGGAGCAGGTCCAGCACTGGAAGTGATGGTGTGAATTACCCTATAGTACATTTGTTCTGCAAATACACTGTTTTTCTGCATATACATTTGTAGGAACATGCAAAACCATGTCTTTTTATTGAACTTTGGTAAAAGATGCCAATAAATGATAAAGTTCAGTGACACACAGGAACTGACATGAAAATCACATGTTGCAACTCTTGTTTTTTGAAAACAGGGACATTCATTAGCCCATTTATCTCTAGCTAAAAACAAGGTACTGAATCTGAGTTAATAATCCAGGCTTTTTTTTTTTTACAGAGACAATAAAGAAATGAACATTTCTAGAGCATATTTAACCCATATCTCTTCAGCAGCTATTTTGTGATAGTATGGTTGGGCCCAGTTAAATGCTTGCAGGCACTTACCTCTGTCAGGGACTACAGAGGAGCTTGGACGAATTATTTAGATTGAAACCTTACTCTAACAAGAGAGGCAATTCCAAAAAAAATGGTTAAGTGCTCCATTTTCATTTTAGTTTGATTACACATGAACCTTTAAACATGTAACATCACAACAGCAACAATGAAACTGATTTTTAAAAGCTCTCCATCAATCATTGGGAAATTCTCCTTTATAGCCAGCTCTTTCACTGATTTGAAATATCGTTTAGTGCAAGTGATTTGTCCTTTCTACCTCAGTTTTTGATCTTCACAGAGGTAAATAAACAAGCTGCAAGCATCAACTCCTTGCTGCATGAGAGAAGTTTGACCTCTTGAAGAAGAAAATGAAAACTTACAATTATTATTCACCCTGTAGTATAGCAGAAGTAATAATCATAAAACAGCTTCTATTCACTGAGATGCACAGCAAAATGAAATAAAAAAGCCTTTCAGATTCATTTCAGACCATAACCTCTGTGTGTGTGGTGGGTGCTGGATACCTTGAAGAATGCCTGTGTAGTCAGGATGAGTTACATGCACAACTGCTGTGGGGCCCAGGGTGGCAGGGCAGTAACTGCCTTTGTAGCAGTCATGTAATAACATTGCAGAATTCTGTAGAGGGAAAAAAGAATTAGGGACTTGGATGACTTAGTATTATTTACTGGGCTTATAATATTGTGAACTTCTGTGATGTATAAAAGGCCCGAATTTCTCAAATCGACCCAGGACTTGGAGGATGCAGCAGGAGACACCTGAATGAGAAGTGGTCCTGATCTTTACTAGTTATTCCTCAACCATGCAGAGAAAACTGGGCTTCTTTTTGGATGTGTCAAGCTGACCATCAAAACCACCCAAAACTTATCAAAAGCAGCAGTTGCTTTTGAAATGATTGGTGAGATACAATCCCTTGTTCCAGTGAGTTTGTGATGCAAGACCCTGATCATTCAAACTCTGATTGATCAGTGTCCTTAACTTCAGTTAAATACATCTTAAGCTGCACATGATGATAGGTGCAAGACATCATCCTGCAAGCCTCTGGTTTTTTTGCATGATGTTGTCTCTGTGCACATCCTCACTGAGCTAAGGCTGCTCATCAAGAAAAGCTATTCGTGTGAGTGTTTACAGGAGATGCAAGTGTAGGGACAAAAGATTGAAAATGAACAAGTAGCAAAATATAAAAACAGTCTGTGGAAGCTGAATGAAACTTTGTTGTTTCAGGGAAGTTGCTGGGGACATGGAGTTATGCCTTGCTGAATTGTTATTTAATGTGTCTGGTGGGGTAAGGATTTTCTTTTGTCTTTATGAAATTACTCATTTTCTCTTTGGAGATCTGAGAAAATTCCTTTAATGCTGAGTTTGGATGGACAGCAGAAAAGCCAGCAGCAATCCCCTTAAACTTCCCTGGGATGCAAAAAGGGGTGGAAACCCCCAAAATGTGTGTGTTTGCTTCTTCCATCTCTCCTGGGGCACTCGCTTGGGAGAAGCCCGCGTGGAAGAAGATCCGCGGACAGGAAAAAAAAACCTCTTTGAAGCTTAGAACGGGCGATGCAGTTTTACTACACACAGGGGTGGCTTTTTTTCCCCAATCTCTTTGTGGAAGTGGGGACGAATAGGAGCTGGAGAGCCCCCCAGGCAGCGGCTCCCCCGAGGCGAGGCAGCCGCATCCCAGGGGCCAGGCTCCATCTAGTGACACATCCAGGGATGGCCGGGCGGCAATACAGCCCAGAGCAGCTCCGGGACACCCAGAGCCGCCCGTACCTGGCCGTACCAAGCCGTGCAGGGCCGTACCAGGCCCTACCTGGCCGTACCAGGTTGTGCCCCGCCGGCTGCTGGTCACGGGGAGCGGCGGTCCCGCTCCCCCAGCGCTAGTCCCCTGCCCGGAGAAGTGGCCCCAAGGGTTTAGGAAACAGCTCTTTTATTTCTAAAAGGGGAAATACAGGACGGGCAAGGGCGAAGGCAGGGGCTGAGCCGCGGCGGGGAGCGAGGCAGACTCACCCCGGGCTGGCCCCCGTCGCCGCTGGGTGGGCTGGGATGTTACACACGCCCACCCACCCCCGGACCCCTTCCCGGCGCCCACATCAGGGCAGGGGCTGCGGGACCTGCAGCCGAGACCGCGAGGTCCAGGTCCGGCCCCGGCCCGACGGGGAGATGCGCGGCCGGAGAGCCTCGAAGGAGCGGAAAGCCCGGAGGTGCGGGCGGCGAGGAAGCGACTTCAGGGTGTCCCCCCTGCGACGTGATGTCACCCGATCAATATTTTCGGGGGGAGTGACCGATCCGCTATGAAATGGGCTCTATATTGGACGCGGCCGGATCGATCGGGCTGATAACGGGAGAGCTATAAAAGGCCCAGAGGGGGCGGCTTCGCCCACGCTACAGCCCCGAGGCGCGGCCAGCGCAGCAGCGCCGGGACTCCGCTCCATCCCCGCCGCTCCGTGCCCACCATCCCCGGCTCTCCGAGCCCACCATCCCCGGCTCTCCGAGCCCACCATCACCGTCTCGCCGTTCCCATCCCCATCGCTCCCTGCCCACGCCCGTGGCCCCGTTCCCCGCTCGCCCCCCGGGATGGGCTCTCCCCCCGCCGCCCTGGCGCTGCTGGGTCTCGCCGCCGCCTGTGCCGCGGTGCCGCTGCCGCTGCCCGACGCCGGCCCGCACGTCAACTACGGCTGGGGGGAACCCATCCGGCTGCGGCACCTCTACACCGCCAGCAAGCACGGGCTCTTCAGCTGCTTCCTCCGCATCGGCGGCGACGGCAGGGTGGATGCGGCCGGGAGCCAGAGCCCGCAGAGTGAGTACCGGGAATGGGGATGGGATGGGATGGGACGGGACGGGGTTCCGCGGGGTTAACGCCGCTGTGCCTCTCTCGCCAGGTCTGCTGGAGATCCGCGCCGTGGCCGTGCGCACCGTGGCCATCAAGGGCGTGCGGAGCTCCCGGTACCTCTGCATGGACGAGACGGGGAGGCTGCACGGGCAGGTGAGCGCCTTTCTCACAAGTCTCCTCTCCCCGGGGGGATTTCCACCCTGAAACAGCCGGCGAGGCCGAAGGCATCGCGTGCTTTTTGCAGTTAATAATGGGTCGACGAAGCTTTCAGGTGTCCATCACCCCCCCTCCTTCCCCCGCCTCTCCCCTTATCCACCTTTTCTCCGTAGGACCGGTGATTCTTCTCACTGTGGGGGTTATTAGAAGGCAGCAAGGAAACATCACGTAGAAAGTAAAGTTTTGCATGTCCCCCCGCCAAAATATACCGAAAACACAACCCAGGGGAAAAACTGTGTTTAGGTTTAAAAAGTTTCATCAGTGGGAGGCTGAGATTCCGCTGCAGAAATAGATGATGTCGTGCCATGGAACAGAAATAATTTCTCGCTGTTCAGGTCAGGTATTCCGAAAAAAACCCCAGGATTACTCCTTTGGCAGCTGGCTGCCAGGCATACAAGCCCCGGGAGCACGGACTTGCCATAGCTTAGGTAGCTCCAAAGCGAAAGAGGATTTCGAGAGGGGAAAGGGATGCTTTGCCACCGCCTCGTTTCTGCCTTGCTGTAACACCGCACCTGTGGGGCTCCAAGAGGTTGAGGGGTTAAGTGACCCACTGACACCACAGGTCATGCTTTGTCGCTAAGTGTATCAGCCAGCCATGGATATAAACTCGTTTTTAAAGGCACGTGGATACGTTGCCAACTCTAGAATTTGAAGGTTAAGGTTCACATTCGGTCTGTACAGAAGCTGGAGTTTCAGAGAGCAATGGCTTTTCATCGTGCCACGGTAAAGATACAGCTTGATTCTGCTTTGATCACTCCAGCAAAATTTCTGCTGATTTCCATCAGGCAAGGACTTGGCCCATTCTCAAAACCTGCAGTATCTTTAATAAGAGCAATACTGAGGTTTCTGGATGTGGATATAACATAGAATTGAGCCTTTCTTCCTTAATTTCCTTGCTTTTCTGAGGCTCAAATCAATCGATGCCGTGATAAGGTGCACGGGTTCAGATGATATGGTAGGTCAATTATTAGCTTAATGTTTTAATGTATATCCAAACCAAAATATTCCATGAAAACAAAGCAGAGCCTGGGTCCTGCTCCCATTGGAGCTGCAGCTGGACTTTAGCAAACACAGAATTTTTAAAATAGCTTTCCTATAACACCCTTTGGAAGGCATATATTATACCTCGACTGAAAGTGCTTTTTGTGGTGTAAGAGTATTAAATGCAGGTCGGGTTTGGTTTTTTTTTTCCTGAAAATACAGCGGCACACAGCCATGCTGTCACATCTATATGTTGTGGACACCTGCTGTCACCTCTGTGCTCACAGCCCAGCCAGGCAGCTCTGCAGGCAATTCTTTTCCTTATCAGCTCAGGAGTGGAAGAACGAAAGGGCAAACTCGGTGTCTGGGGACTGAACCTGCACTCCTGAAACATGCCCTTTTTGAACACTGGAAAACTGATGACTAGGGTTGATTTTTTTGAGTGTGCTTCGTGCTGCAGTCAGTCAGTTTAGGGGAAATGGTGTACCTGCTGAATATACTGACATTCTATAAAAGCCTGTTGTAAAAAAACCAAAAAAAATCTGGAATTAGTTTAAAGTGTGTTTGGTATTTGTTTAAGAAATACACTAGAGACAATGGCAATGAAATGAGGAGGGAATTACATAGTTGAGACATGGGGGCTCAATCAATATCTGTTGTCTGTAATGTGCACTTCTTGAGCAAGAAGCTCTTTTATTTCATCATCCTTGTCAGTGAGGCTGAGCACTCACAGAAATAAAGGCAGCTACCAATTCAGCCATAAATCTGGGTTGTATACACACATTTCTAAGATATAATGTATAATTTCTAAGATAGAAGGATAAACATTGCGTAATCGTATTTGGAGAAAACGTATTTTTCAAAATTAGTCAATTTGTTTGAAGAATGCTTTTAAAAGACAACCAAATGCACGTACTTACTTGTACTCCATATTACTGAGGGTATTTGAGAAAGACCTGAAAGTATCAAACATGCTCTCTATTCAGACAGACAGAACATTCATGTAAGGACACTTCTATCACTGCAGACAGACATAATCAGCAATTCTCTTTTATTGACCACAAGTTCAATCACCTGCAGTGGCTGACCCTGAAATAGCACCAGAGCTGTAAGAAATGCAGTGCTTGTGTAAGGATCTGGAGAGGTCTGACCTGCTGATACAAAATCCTGATACACGTTTATTATATCTTATTTATATATATGTATTACAGATACATAATATCTGCACAGGCTATTGCAAATGTAATTCTACAAATTCATGCCTAAGAAAATACATTCTTCTGTACAAAATCTTAACTCGTGCTGCTGTTAATCTGACAGTTCTCGCTGTAATGCAAAAATAACACTTTGTAAATGGGTCTTTTGTAATTGCAGTAAATTCTGAGTGAAAAAAAAAAAAGGCCAATCACCTTTTAGCATTGTTTTACTGATTGGCCACGCTGCCTTTCTACAGACCTGATCCTGAAGCCCTTGCACAGGCAAATCTCTAACAGAGCTGGAGTTCTATACCCCAGGATTGTTGGATTAGGTCTCATGATTGCAGTTAAGTATCGTCAGCGATTAAGGACAGTTAATCTAGAGAGTAGTTAACCTGAGATTCTTTTTCCCAGTGCTCAGGACAGGCTAAGTGTGGTGTCTGTGGAGAAGCACACATCCAGGATTCATGGCTTATTTAATGTGATGGACGTGCAATAACTTCAGGAGTTCCTTTAGGTGTTTTAATTGCTCTTGTCACTCAAACTGCGTTGTATGTGCAAAGCGGGGATCTCTAGTAGAATAGAATAGAACAGAATAGAATAGAATGGAATATTTGAGTTGAAAGGACCATGCAGATATCAGCTCACCAGCATGGATCCAGTGAGGCCTGCAAGGTGCACCAATTTGGGACAAGCCAGAGGGACACTCCCTCTGAGAGCAGAGGTTGCACCAAAAATTTATATTGTGGTTGAGTACAATGAGTCTGGTGGACGTATTTGTAACCCTCTTTACTCCTTGCTGTTCAGCTCAGGTATTCCACTGAGGACTGTTCCTTTGAGGAGGAGATCCGCCCAGACGGCTACAACGTGTACAGGTCCAAAAAATACGGAATATCGGTGTCCTTGAGTAGCGCCAAGCAAAGGCAACAGTTCAAGGGAAAAGATTTTCTCCCACTGTCTCATTTCTTACCCATGATCAACACTGTGCCCATGGAGTCCACAGACTTTGGGGAATACGGGGATTACAGCCAGGCCTTTGAGCCAGAGGTGTATTCCTCGCCTCTGGAAACGGACAGCATGGACCCCTTTGGCATCAGCTCCAAACTGTCCCCGGTGAAGAGCCCCAGCTTTCAGAAATGACTCTGATCACACACAGGTTTTTACAGAAATGTTGCAGAGTACTTTTTTTTAGCGTTTCATGTAGTAATATTTGGAACTTTTTTGTACAGGGCCAGCCTTTTCCTTGCAATGTGTTGTACCTGTGAGAGATGAGTGCCAAGAGGCTGTTCTGTAGCCTAAAGAATTGCCTATCCATAGTTTTGTTTGGAAAAGAAGGGTTAAAGGGGAAAAGCTTAGCAGCTTCACCAGAATTCCTCCATTACCACGGCGATGATAAAATAACTGTAATTTTTCGACAGCAACTTCATTTCCACATATGTTCCCCTGTTATTTCTGCTCATAGGAGCAAATGCAGAAAACTTTTTCCTCCTCAGAGACCTTAAAGACAAGCATTTGGAACAAAACTCAATTAAGGAAAACCTAGCAGATGCAATTACATGAACTGGAATTTATGGTGTTTCTTGAAAGGCTGCTGACAGCATTCTGGGAAAAACTTTCTATTGAAAGCATACTCCTGAAAAAAAACCAAGTCTGCTTGTATATTGTGCTTTTTCTTCCCTTAGGAAATAAGGGAAGAAAGGGGAAAAATTTCTTCCTTCCCTTATTGCTAAAGGGTAGTTCGGAAAACTCAATCTTTGATTTCTTTTGTAGGCTAATTTAAGTTCTCTGTGTCATCAGCATCATCCAGCAGAGAGCTCTCATTAAAATTAGTGAGAATTCAATGTGTGGTTGGATGGAAGAGTGCACAGAACTAACATTTACGTTCATCAGGTAGGGAATGAGCAGTTCAAATTAGTGTATCAATTAAGATTCTGTTGTATATAAGCATGTATGTCGTTAGCAAACGGAGAAGAACACTGGAGAAGGATAATGTATAGGTCAAATCAACTGCAAAATAGGTTTTTGTGCTTAACCTTTAGCTATCACCAATCCTTTCAAGTCACTTCCAGGCTCGATTGAGCATCCCTGGGAATCTGTGGAGAGACAGTTTTAGTGACTTAAATGCTGCAGAGCTGAGTCTGCCATGAAACTGCGGGAATGGGTTCTGGGTATCTCATGGCCAAGACACAGATGTCTGATGTCTTCAGTTCTGTTCTCCCTTTGAAGTGAAGGAATGACCAGGGTGAAGCCAAAGAAAAAGCCCCAAAAAGTTAGAAGATGTTTCCAAAGGTTCCTTCTTTCCAAATGTTCATTTATTAGAGATTTCTGCAGGAAAAAAAAAGAGCTCTACTGGAAATACTGGTGTTCTTCTGACCTAGCACTTCATTGCCAATGCAATATTTATAATTAATTTATTGAATTCATACGTCTGTTTATTTTGTTACTGTTATTTATGCTCAAGATTCTATTTATATACTCCTGAAAGTGAGTTTTTTAGTCGTAACAAATCTCGTGAAGTTTGGTAATCATGAAATTTTAGCAGACGATAGCTTTTTAAATTTCTGTGCATTATCAGTAGCTGTATTGTGTACATTTGCAATAAAAAAAAAAAAGAAAATCATCTTCAACACTGAAATCTTGCTGACTCTTTTGTCATCCCCTCGGTCTAGAGACTTCAAAGAGCTTCAGCAAACTGTGGTGTCTGTTCTTTGCAGCAGCCACGTGAAGTTGGAATCCCTCGGGAAGGTGCTTGAGGCACAAGAGACAAGGGCATGGAGAGACAAAAGGGTTTTCCCAAAGTTAGGCAGCACTCCCGAGGCCACCACTAAACCACGTCCCGGAGTGCCACATCAACAGGTCTTTTAAATTCCTCCAGGGATGGGGACTCAACCACTTCCACGAGCAGCCTGTTTCAGTGCTTGTCCAAAAAATCCCGTGGATGGAAGGCTGCTCCCTCTTAAAACTGGGAACGACACTCACCAGTGCAAACGGGGAGAAAACTGGTTATTTTTGCCTGAAAAAGGTGTTGGTTTCTGGCAGGAAAAGAGACTGAATGCTTCTGTTTGGAGATGCTGTGAGTCACAGGAACTGCAGGTTTCTTGGCTGGCAAACATCTCCCATGGTTTTTCCCATTCCCCTTTTTGCTGAGCCACTGCCACACATCCGGATGGTTCCCACTCCTCATATATCGGGAGACCTACCCCTGATTTTCAGTTGTTTTGTTCCAAAAGTTTTCAGATTTTGGGCATTCTCTTTTTCTGTGTTTCACTTCCAGTTTTGATTGAACATTAGATATCTTTCAAGCCTTTTTTTTTTGCCAAAAAAAAAAAAAAAGAAAAAGAAAAAACCCAGAAAACAAAATAAAGCATATATGAACTTATAAAGTTTGGTCAACAAGAAATTCCACTTTTATTATTCTGCTAAAAAATAATTGCACAGATTTGATGGGAAATAAAGGAATTCAGAGGGTATACTGTATAATTTCACCAGTGAGAGATTCTTAAGTAGATATAACATTGTGAATATTGGTCAAGGGTGCAAAGACAAACAACCTTCAATTTGCAAACATCATCTTGAGCTCTCTGGTGACTATTTGCTGACACCTTTGGCTTAACATCTTCCACCAGCACAGTGTTTCTCACTACAACAGCATGGTTGGTTCAATATTTATTCAGACAGAGGGAAGAATGCCAAGGGCTGAATTACCCACACCACTTCCTGGAGCACTTCGGCTTTCCTTGGAGTTTTCCCATCCAAGCTCTGACCAAACCTGGCTGCTTTGCTTATAAAATCTGACAGGATCACAGCTTGAGGTGGGAGGATTGCTGGAAAATGCTTTCCCTGCCATCTTGACACCTGACTGGGTCAGGAGCTTGGTGTGCAAAACCTCCAAACAAACCACTGCCTTTGGATCTGTGGGAATGTAAACACCACCTCCACCACCGTTCCAGTGTAGGTCCTGGTTGGTCATAGTCTCTCAAAGACAGTAGGACAACTGCGGTGCTTTCATTTGCAACAGTACATTTTACAGCCCTAAAGGGTTTTTTTTAAAGGTCAGGTGTCAAATGTCTCCTTGTGAAGTCTCAGCTGGAAGCTATGATGTGCAAATACAAGTTGTTAGAGCAGTGAGAAGGCTGTAGGGAAGGAGATACTGGGCATCTTCATTTCCACTTGGAGGGAGTGTAAAAAACCTATAAATCCTTTATTCAAGAGTCACAACGTCCACTTTACCTCTGCTCAAAGCGCTGAAATCCTGTTGGTGGAAAATTTGGGGCCACTCTTTCTACTCTGCCAGTGTACAGACTGGAGTGCAACATGATAAATTAAATAAGCGTTCTCTCTTTCCTCAAAGATATACATCAACCAACCCTCCTCGGGCAGCAGTGAAAGCAGAAACACATTTCCCTTGGAAGTGAATGGAAGTGCAAAAAGGGCATCATTAGGATTCTGATTTCGGGGTGAATTTGTGGCAGTCTGGGGACACAGCAAGTTTATCAGGAGCTGTGTTGGATGAGACTGATCACTTAAGGCATGTAAGGATGCCCCCAAATGAGGCTGGTGTCTTACAGTCTTCTTGCCAGGACATTGTTACATTTTCAGCATTTTTCATCAGTCCCACAATGTACTGAGATCAAAGAACTGGGTTTTTTTCATTAATTTCCAAAGCAACATTTAAATTGTAGCAGTTAGCTAAGAGGAAATCCTCAAGAACATCTTATATTTCCACTGCCATCAGTGACCAGTATGTGAATGTCTGGTTGTAGAGCAGGTTGGTGCTCACGCCTGGCAAACCTTCAGTGATTTCATGTGAGATCCAGTCACATCTACACTTTAATGCCAAAAACAAGCTGGACAGCTGCTCTTTATAAATCAGCGTTGCCTGCTGTGATGAAGAACTTTTAATGAACTGTGATTTCTGTACCTGCTTAGCTAAACCTTTAGTAGCATGACTTTATTTTCACTCTAATGCAGTTCTGGGGAGGTTTTATATCGATCTCTGGATTTTGAAGTTGACTTTTCAAGTCCTCTGCCCTCCTGTGTCTGATTTGGAAGACAACAGACTCCGGCAGACTGGCAGAATACTTTGGTGTGCCCAGAGCCACATTTTCATTAAGTATTTAGAAAACAACAACATAAATCAGCATTAAAATATATATTTATAGATAGCTATAAGTATTTCCTTTGACCAGTGTTGATCTGTAATAATAAATAAGAGATGTAACAGAGCAGCCTAGAATGGCACACTGTAGTTTGGGTTGGGCATTTATAAAAAAAAATATTTACATTTTAGAATCATAGATTGGATTGGAAGGGAACTGAATGATCATCTCATTCCAGCCCCCCTTCCATGGGCAGGGACATCTTCCACTAGACCAGATTGCTCCAAGCCCTGTCTAACCTGAACACTTCCAGGGATGGGGCAGCCACAGCTCCTCTGGGCCATAGCTTAATGGCAGCAGAAGGTTCTCAAATGAAGTTTCTAAGCCTGTTTTGGGTCATCTGTGGTCACTAAAGCTGGGCAGTGTTACTGCAAAGCGATGTCAAAGCTTGCACCTGAAGTTGAGGGCTGTGACACTTCTTCGCTGGGCAACCTGTGCCAGCACCTCCCTGCCCTCACAGAGAGGAATTTCAGGCATCAAAAACAGACAAAAATCAGAGATGTCAGTATGCTGTGAGAGAGATGTGCATGTTCCATCATTGTGTGACACGTGATGGGACTGGAGGGAATGGCTTGAAGTTGTGTCAGGGGAGGTTTAGGTTGGATATCAGGGAAAGGGTGGTCGGACGCTGGAACAGGCTCCCCAGGGCAGTGGGCACAGCACCGAGCCTGACAGAGCTAAGGAAGCATTTGGACAACACTCTTGGGAACGGGGCAGAACTCCAAATGCCTGCACACCTCAAAACAGTCCGTGTGGTGCTGTGCTTTCACCTGAAGAGACCTCAAGGTAGTAAATACAGGGCACAGTTTGGATTTGCTCACTGATCTGTGTAAATGAAAGCCTGTCCAGTGGAAGCTCTATCCCCCCTCTGTGTAACCACATGGCTCTAAGCTGAGGAGCGGTCGGGGTGGTCAGTTGTGAGTTCACTGCTGAAATGAGTGTGTCCTTACGTAGGGCACTTGCCTTAGTCATCATGTTTTTGTCTACGTACATACCGTGATCATTACCCCTGCGCTTTGGTTTGCAAATGCCTGTTACTTCCACGTTTCGCCCCCTACCATCACGTTTGACAACTGGACTGCTCTGCTGTGATGTGCCAATATCCCGGGATGTGCAGTTTCCACGTTCGCAGTGATTAAAGGCTACTTCTTCCCTGCCGATGTCAAAGGCTGGCATGTGACACTGGGTAATGAGAGAAGAGTAGTTATTAAACAGCTAGATGAAAATTGGGCGTATAAACTGAACGACTGGCACAAATATATAATCTAATATTTGACTGTAGCTTTTGGGGATGGTCCCGTGCGCGGCCAAGGAGTCGGGACTCGACGATTCTCGTGGGTCCCCTTCCAGCTCGGCGACTGTGATAAATTCTTCCCGGTATTACAACTCCGGGGCGGGGGGGGGGGATTGTAAAGACCAAAAACCGGCTCGTTTCGCTGTCACCGCTCCTTTATTCCCTCCTTTATTCCCGGGCGGACACCGCCGCTCTCCCTGAGGGCACGGCCCGGCACCGGCGGCGCGCGGGCGCCCCCTGGCGGTCACGGCCCGGCACAGGCCCGGGGAGAGGGGGCGTGGCCTGCCCGGCGAGGGGAGGGGTGGGGCGTGGTCACCGCCCGCAGGCCACGCCCCCCACGGCGGGGCGATCCCAGCCTTTCCCGTCCCTGCCGCGCGCCGTCGTTCCCGGCGTGCCCCGCGCCCGCCATGGCCGACATGTTCGACGGGATCGTGATGGCCGAGCAGCGGTGAGGGGCGCGGAGAGGGGCTTCTCGTAGCCCCCCGCCACTCTGCCCCGGGGGTGGCGCTTCGGCAGGCGGCGGCGGGAGGCGGGAGGGGAAGGCGAGGGGCGAAGGGTGCCCCGGGGAGTGGGAGGGAGAAGGGAGAGGGGAAATTCTCCTCTTTGCGCTTGGCCGGCGTGAAGCTGAGTCAGGGGAGGGTTAGGCTGGATAAGAGGGAGAGATTGCTTATCCAGGGGGGTGGTCGGGCACTGGGTACCAGCTGGATGCCAACAGGCTCCCCAGGGCAGTGGGCACAGCACCAAGGCTGGCAGAGCTCAGGGAGCGTTTGGATGATGCTCTCTGGCACCGGGTGGGATTTTTGGGGTGTTCCGTGCAGGGCTGAGGCTTGGGCTTGATCCTTGTGGGTCCCTTCCAGCTCGGCACGTTCTGTGATTCCATGGTCTGGGCGCTTCCAGTGGGAACACTGACCTGGGGGGGCGGGTGATCCCGATGGGAGCACAGAGCTGGAGCCTTGTTCTTGGCGGGTTGGGATGGGCTTGGCTGGGAATGTTAGAGGGTGAATGATTGTGACTTCGCCTGGACGGGCTGGAGCGATGGAGATCCAGCATTTGGGTGACAACAAGTGACCCAGTGCCACAGGCTGGGGAAAGAGTGGCTGGAAAGCTGGGAAAGGGCTTGGGCTGAACACAGTGTGACAGCGGGGCCAGGGCAGTGACCGTTCCCCCAGCCGGGCACTGCTGAGGCCCCTCCTTGAACCCTGGGGTCAGTTTTGGGCCCCTCGTGACGAGAAAGACATTGAGGGGCTGGAGCGTGTCCAGAGAAGGGGATGGAACTGGGGAAGGGTCTGGAGCACGAGTGTGATGAGGAGTGGCTGAGGGAGCTGGGGGGGCTCAGCCTGGAGAAAAGGAGGCTCAGGGGGGACCTTCTCACTCTCTACAGCTCCCTGACAGGAGTGGGGAGCCAGGTGGGAGTCAGGCTCTGCTCCCAGGGACAGGACAAGAGGAAACAGCCCCAAGCTGCACCAGCGGAGGTTCAGGTTGGACATTAGGAGGAATTCCTTCATGGAAAGGGTGGTCAGGCATTGTGGAATCACTGCCCCAGGAGGTATCCAAGGAATGCCTGGATGTAGCGCTCAGGGCTCTGGTCTAATGGGACAAGGTTGGACTTGATGACCTCAGGGGTCTTTTCCGAGTGAAATGATTCTGTGATTCTGTCATTTAAATCAGTGTTATGTGATGTTTCTGACTATCGGTGTTTCCGCTCTGGGAGATGATAGAGCCTAGTTTTTGTTCCCATGAGGTCTCCGTGCGCAGTGTGAGCTCGATACGAGACCAGGAGGTTAAAAAAACTACACTTCTGCCTTCCCAGGTTCCACGGTGAGGGGTATCAGGAGGGATATGCCGAAGGCAGCCACATTGGAATTGCTGAGGGAAGGAGGTACGGAGCGCTCCACGGCGCCAAGATCGGGTCGGAGGTAAATGGGAAAATGCTTCAGGATTGCAATGTCTTTGTCATTAGAAGATTACTGTAACACAGAAGCTGTTGGGCAAGGCCTGAAATCATCATCAGTCTGAGGTTACACTGCCCCATAAAACTGGTTTAATGGTGGTATTTTGATTTGAAGAGTTGAGTAGATGTGTTTATGTTTTTTAAGCTTGTTTGCTATGTGGAACTTCGGTGGGGCTTTTTTTTTCTGAAAGGATAAGAAGAAACAAATAAATTCAAACAAGCTTGCTCAGAAAAACATTATGAACTTATTTATTTATTATGAAATTATTTATTTTTGTATCCCAAAATTGTGTCTAAAGGCCCCCCTGTACCATCTCCTGTGGCTCAGCATAGGGAAAAACGTGGAATCTTGAGACACTTTGGATGGAGAATCATGAAGGGGTGATTCTGTGATTCCCGAATCAGTAACCATTCCTAGAAATTCCAGGAGTGGAGGGTGGTGCTGTGGCACTTCAACTTGTTCCATATATCCAGCTCCAGTCTGTCATAGGACAGAGTGCTGTGTAATTGTAGTTCCAGGATTCTTTGGACCTGAGAATTTTTGCAGCTCTGCTGGGAAGCTGTACTGCAGTTTTCATGGCAGGCCCCATTCCAAGCAGAGCACCACCCATCTAAATCTGCTGGATCTGTTGAAGACCTCTGGGTGATCTGGCAGTTTGCCCTTTTGGTATTTTCAGGTTTCAGGAAGTTAATTGCCTGCAGAAGGAACAGTGGCCATGGCGTTAATCCGTTTTGTAATGAAAAAAAAAGTAAACTCAAAGCAGAAAGAATGGCCATCATAAAATTTTGGGTTGCATTTGGGCATGATACAGAGGGGTGCAGTGATTGGATATTTTTCCCATTTGCACTCCAGTGATGTAGTTCTGTCATTGTATAATGAGATGTTAAACAGGAGTCTCCAAAGCTGGATAGTTTTATACAAAATGGTCCCAGACAGACAATAATAGAGAAGTGCTCTAATCTGCTTGTATTGGAAAAGCTCCAGAGGACAGTAGGATTATACAGTTAAATTAGAGGGTGACTTGGGTAACCTTAGACCTGTCAGTCTGTTTTGTGTCTTGGGTAGAATCTGGATGATTGCTGATCTGATGCTGGCCTTGGTTGATAGTGAATTCAAGTAAAACATTGTAATTAAAGTGTGTCTGTCCTTGGACTTAATCTCTCAAAGTCAGCTGACTTCTGGTTTTGGCTGTCTGTGTTGTTTTTGTGTGAATGCTGAGTCACTTTTGAAAGGGACTTCAGCTGACTTGTCCAGTTGGTGCATGGAAGGACTTCCCCATATTCCTGTTTCATTTGGTGTCCAGAGTTGTACTGAAGAGTTCTGGCAGCAGGGCTCAGACAGCTCCTCCTGCTTCTTTCTGATTCCTCTTCAGTTGGGCTGATAAAGTTGTTTATGTATTAAATCAAAAAAAGGTGTGGTTTCCTCCTTGACTTGAGGGCTCCCTCAGTCCCTGGTACCTTTTCATAGGGCTGTGCATGGGCTGCTTTAACTCAGAACTGCTGCAAAAACAAGCACCAAAACCTCTTAAATAGCTTGTTCTCTTAAGTTTTCCCTGCTACCAGACTTCAATAAATTTGGGGGTTCAAAGCATATAAAGCACTGCTTGTGTTTTGCAGAATTGCTTTTCATGCTGCATTTTAAATATCATGTCTTCTGACGCTGAACAACTTCTTACAAGAAGTTTTCTGACTTACGTAACTCTCCTTCCCTAATTTAGTGAACTTTCCAGTGTGTGTATCCAGAGTTGTTGTTTTCCTGAAGAACAGAATACAATGTTGTGCTTTACTGTTGTTTGACCATATAAACTGTTTGTTTTTTGGGACTTTTTTCCCCTCATGACACTCTTTTAAATTCACAGATTGGCTGCTACCTTGGGTTTGCACTGACATGGCACTGTCTGCTCCAGAAATGCACAGATGAAAAGAGCAGGTAAGGCTAAAAAGGTCAAAAGTAATTTTTTTCTGTGACTTTCATTCTTTTCTTTGTATCTTTTTTTTTTTTTTCTGTCCAGTTTTCAGCCATTTTGATATGTGTTCTGGTAAGCTTTTTTTAATTGCATTTCTTCATTTCTCCCAGTATTTCTAATTTCTCTCGAGTACTTGTAATCAATACTTCTGAGGATTCTTGAATATTTCTCAATTTTGGGCAGGTAAGTTAAAAAGGAAACCTTAACTTTTGTCAGTTGTGCTACAGCTTAATTTCTGATTATGGCTTAAATGTGTATTAAACACACACTGTCAGTGAGCTGAATGGGAGAAGTTGAATTAAAGAAGGATGGAGGGCTGGGTTCTATGCTCTGAATTATTAATTCAAAAATCAATATAATTTCATATTGATGGATTGAAAAAAAACTTCTGTAGTAGCGTGGTTGGCTCTTCCGCTTGGATTTGATTTATTTTTGGTTTTTTTTTCCCTAGCAAAAAGATAAGGGCTCTGGAGTCATTAATAGGGATGATTCAGAAATTCCCATATGAAGACCCCACTTATGATAAGCTGCAGGAAGATCTGGAAAAAATCAGAGGAAAATTTAAACAGGTTCGTAGGATTAAGTTGTTATTTTATTTAGCACATTGATTAATTTCTGAATATATTTAGTTTCTAAACCCACTCCAAAACATGGTATTTGTGTGGAGCAATTATTCCCCTGCTGCAGTCATAGTAAAATACTTGAAATGAAGTGAATTAAGTGAAAATACTTGATAGTTGAAAATTCCCCAACCAGTAGCAAATGAAAAATAAGAAAATATTCTTTGAAAGGCAGGTTGGAGGTATTTTTTGACAATGAATTGCAAGTGGGACCAGAAGAAGAGAAACTGGGAGTTTTGTTGAACATCCTTCTTGGAAAACAGACACTTTGAAACACTTCTGTGTATTTTTTTTTAGGTTTGTTCAATGCTAAATATTCAGTCTGATTTTAGAATTGGTACTGAAAGATCTTCACTAACATTTTGAATACAACAGATGAAGATAAACGTGGATGACCAAAGAAAAAAACATTAAAAGAACAGAACTGGAAAAGTGTTTTATCTATTTTTTATTTTTTAAAAAAAATCAAAATAGTGAAGACGTGCTAAATATTAAAGGGCAAAGGGAAAACTATTGGACTTGCAGTGTGTCATTTAACATTTATTATCTCCAAGTTTTGTTTAGGATCACTGAAACACTAGTGTGTAAACCAGTTGAATAGAAATATTTGCTTTAGTTCCTCAAAAGGAAAACACATGCATTTGCAAAGTTTCCTTATTTAAAGGATGTATTATGTTAATTAAAGATCTGTGTGTGCAGATTGTTGAGTTTACACAATGTGTAGATGCTGTAGGTGAAGTAAAATGTAATCAGTTCCCAGTTTTTGTGGGTAAAGGATAAAATGACAAATGAAGTCAGAAAGCAAAGGATGAAGAGTAAGATCCCTGCCCATAAATTAGCTGCAGCTCACAACGTGGAATTTGCACTTGGATTTTCCAATAGCTTTGGTGGGGGAAGAGAGTGATCTCCCAAACCCCCAAAATCTAAACCCCAAAAGCCAGCAATTTAAGTGATAGGTTAGAAAAACATGACTACCAGAAGAGCTGTGGTTGTAATTTAATGTATTTATTAGTACCTTTTGTCACAGAGTGGCTTTTTTGTTTTCCAGTCTTGAAAATGAACCCTTTAGTCTCCTTCCAATAAATGGATGCTGTGAGCTAAATGTATTTAACTGTGTTAGTTGAAGAGAAATACAGCCAATTATTGTACCTGAAAGATACTTTAAAGACATTTTTGTTTGTTTGTTTAATTGTTTTAAACATCTCTGATACATTCAGGGAGGGTCAGGGCCATCTAGTGGAGGAGAGAGTTGTGTAAGAAATAGATTATAAGAGTTCACAAATATATATATATATATATATATAGATGAAGTTGTTGGAGAGTACAGAACACAGGCACTCATGACACAGCTCTCCTGATTATGTGGTGAATTCCTTTGGAATTAACTGGCATTAAGGCAGCATTCATTTGTTGCTTGTTTCCTCATTTGAGACCTTGGCAGGGCAGTTTAAAGTACAGTTGGCTTTTAATTTTTAAGCAGCCAGGCCACTGGGAACCAGAACAAGCACCAAACTGCAAGCACCTGAAAACAGAAGCAGAATAAAATAGAGATTACCCTGTAATCTCAATAAGAAAATGGGCACAAGCCAAAAAGATTACATTACTAGAGAGGACAGAGCTAATTTGACTTTATAATCACTTCAGAGAAATCCAGGTTTCAAAAAGTTGTCCCTGCATCCACAAATGAGTTTATTGTTACAAAATGAAGTATTTTACCTGTTTACTTCAAATTAGTGAAAGGTGCCACTTATTCATGTGTGATGAACTTTGCCTTTTTTAGACCAAGATCCAGGGGGATTCAAAGCATAATTTGTGGTTTTCAGCAAAAGGTGTTTTGAGTCTGTTTTACTCTGAATGATAGTACAAAGAGAAGTGAAACTAAATATTAATGTTTTTAAATGCAGCCTTTTTTGGAATCACTGTGCTTGGTTTGCAAAAATATGTGTGAAAGCAAGGGGAAGGTTGTGAGAGGTCAAAGTATCTGTGAAGCATTTGGTTTACTGGAAGTGTGTGATACCTCAGTGACATGCAAAGTGCTGCTCCAGAGATGGTTTCAAACAAAATTATTCCTGCTCAACTCAGGAGAAAAAGGATCTTTGTCCATCAAGTGGCCAGTGACTGTTATTTTGAAAATTGGTTTGGTGGCTGATTTTTCTTGTCTTGCTGTAATTTTATTTATAACAAAATCGTATTATTATGATAAATTATTATACAAATGTGTATATACACGTATTTAACAATAAATCTTGTGTCAGCCAGGTTTTCAGGCTGGGATATGTGAAGTTTAGGGTTGCCTAATAGGTCTTTAATTCAGTTTCATATGTGTGGACATACTGATGGAGCCTCTTATTCCATGAGTCTGTATTTTTCTGAATATCTTGTGTCATATCTTGTATGGGCCTGATTTGGTTTATTAAATGAGGTACAGTTAAAGTTGCCTGTTGGATATGTAGTTGTGTGCTTTCTTAAACTGTTTTTTTGCAACAGAGTTGTGGGGGTTTCTGTGAAGTTGTTCAGGGTCGTCACTGTGAAACATTCCCAACATACTATACAGGTATTTTTATACCTTGTTTACAGCTGAGGAGTTAAAGCCCAAGAAGATTGATTTGCCTTAACCAATGTGAGGTGTCTAATGTGAATTGCTGCAAATAATTCTGCCTTCTGAGGGTTTAAACAGCTCAGAATCTGCTTCCTGGCAGCATCCAGAGTGGCTGAGCCCCCCAGCCTTTTTGCATGTTGGTGTTTTTTGCCTGTGTTTCTCAGCTCAGTCACATGGAAAATGAGGAACATTGCAGTCAGCAAACACCAGTCAAAGGTGTGGGCTCAACCCAGCTGAAGTGTTACCGTGGAGGGGGGGTGAAAAATCCATCAAAATTTCAAATCACTGTTGAATTTCATGAGATATAAGCTTTCTTTCAACCCTTTCCCTGCTCTGACATCTCCCTAAAATCCATCACAAATGGCTGCAAGTACAAGTGGGGTCTTATTAGTTGACACCCTGGTTACTCACCCCGAGTGTGGATGGTCTGTGGTGGAAGCACGTGTTCCACTGGAATTCCAGACCCTTCAGGGGGATGAGCAAAGCTGCTGTGGGCCCTGCTCATTCACACATTGCCTGCTTTAAATGCAATTTAAGTGCTGCTTTGAAGGCTGGGTGGAAAGGATATGGGGGGGTAAAAAAAATTGGTTGTTAATAAAGCAGGACACAGAGATTGTGGCTTTGTGTTGTCCAAGGAGCTTTTGCAGGAGTACTCAGTGTATTAAGGGCAGTTAAAATGGAAAATTTCTGCTAAAAATGCTGAAGTTAGTAAGACTTAAAAATATACTGCTATATTCACTCACCACCCCTAGTTATTGCTCAGTAGTTCGGGAGGAATGTTTGAAACACTGAACTCACAAATGTCTGACTTGCCTGGACTGCGTTCGAGCTTGTTTGGTTCCTTCCTGATCATCTCTCAGCTGAACCTGTGCAATATGGAATTTTATTAATTGCTGCTAGGCTGCTGAAGTCATGGCAATCCAGAAGACTTGTAATTTTCCTTTCTACAAGATGTGATGAGTACAAGAAACAGTGAATTTTGAGGCATCAGCAGAGCAAGGTAAACTCTGACCCCCATTTGCTAAAGCTTGTGAGCACAATTCTCATTCTGCCTTCATACTTTCCATTTCTTGTCAGCTGTAATGTGAAGGTGATCAAAATTCCAGCTTTGAATGAGCAGCTGTAATCATCAGAAATGGGTGAAATAAATCAGAAAAAAACATCTGTGGATGCAACTGTTTGCTTCAAAATCAGTCCTGTAGAGGTAGTTTGGTTCATTTGAATCCCATTACATTTTTGTGAAACGAGGTTGTGATAATTTACATGTGGATGTGTGAGGAAAGTCTGGAGTGCATTGGTTGGTTCTCTGACTCTTTGGTCTGATTGCTGTCGAGGTCTGAAATCTAAAAGCAACAGTGTGTTTTAGTATGCACATAGAACCTGTTCAGTGCCAGCTTGCTTTGTGGATAATCACCACTGAAGGAAGAAAAATAAAGACTGGTTTAAACTCTCTGGCTTTGTAGGGTTATTTTTGGTGAGTAAACTACACATTTTGATCTGTGTCTTCTGAAATGGTAGCACGTTTTTATCAATCGTTTTTTAAATAGGTTGTGTTGGGATGAAATGAGTTTTAATTTTCCGGTGGATCAAGTTTTGGTTTTCGAAGAGATGCAAGAGAGAGTTTAAACCTGCAGTGTATTTATGAGTGCTTATTTACACTTTGGCTGGAAATACAACTTCCTCTATTGGAATAAAGGGAGATCCATCTGTCAAAAGTCTGCCTGCACCCTAATATTCCACAGTGCTTTAGAGTAAGAGCTGATACCCTTTTAAGGTACAGAAAGAGATCAAATAATCTGAATTGCTGAGGTTTTAAATCCATAAGTCATGTTCTGTTGGCATCTTTTCTGTATGCACTTACATCCCTTTTTGAATATAAAGTTTTAGGGCTTATCTCCACATAAAGGTATTATTAAAAAAAGCATTAAAAATGGAATCTTTGACTTATAATAATAATGCAACTACAGGCATGGATCTGATACTTTTTTATTTGCTCACAAGCTGTCAGAGCTGTACATTGTGTTGGATACAGCCTTCTGTCTCAAGTTCTGATTTAATGATCTGAGATTCTTTTCTGGTGTTGTTCTCAATATAAAAGTGGGTGCCTTGTCCCTGTGTGGCTTGTTTGAACATTTGTAGGGTTTTTAATGATGTCCTGTAATTACAGGAGAGTAATAATTAAAAATAAAAAAACCCAGCGTTGCATGCTGGAAAGGGAATGTTGGTGATGCTAATTAACACCATTTTCTGGAGGTAAAGGTGTGGGTAAGCAAGGTGAGGATAAGGCTCCATGCCAGGGTAGTTGCTTCCTTAATTTCTGCAGGGATAGCAGCACGAAGCACTACATGTTTTTGAGAAAGAACTGGTGTGTTATAGTTTGAAATCTACTGGAATGTTAGAATTACCTGAAGTCCCCCTGGATGAGAATCCTTATTTCTGGTTTTCTCTGATTTTTCTTTGTTCAGGTCACTCCAGAGTTATAGAGCGATGTGTGTGGGGTATATCTCACCCTGATTAAACAGAAAGGCTTTGGTTTGAAACAAAAGGCTTAGTATTTTTGGTAATGTTATAATTCTTTATATTCTTAGTGCTATAAATGTTAGTGCCTTTTGAATACTTGCCCTTTGCAACTTCTCCTGGCCGTGGATTCTGGTCTAATTACAACCTAAAACTCCAGCTTCCATAGTTTGGCAAGTAACCATGAAGATTCTCATTTTACAGTCTGCCAGAGCTGTTTTTTTAATGGATAAAGTTGTGACAGCACATATTACCACAGGAGTGTACGTATCAGCAGAGAAAATGGGGATTGGGGAGCTGTGAAGAGTCCTGCAGCAAGTGTCCAGTTGCAGGTTTTGGTGTCCAACTGGAGCAATCCACTGCTGAAGTGCTCCGGTGTGTCCCAGTGCTTGGAATTGCAGGACCAGCCTGGCCTCCAGTGATAATAAAAATAATAATAAAAAACCTTTTATGCACTATTTTGAAAGCTTGTACAGTTAGTTCATTTTTGGGTATCTCTTTGGCACCACACTGCAAGTATTCCAACCTTTATCACTGGAGTGTTAAATTATTCCCTCGGTGTAATAATTGAATTTTTTCAGCACTTTTCATCCTAAAATTCTCTTAAGTACTTAGTACCCCCTGACCATACACAGAGCTCTATCAAGTGATGTATTACTGTGTGGAAGGCCAGCATGGAAGACTTTGTAAATCCATGAAATATATGAAAGGTAAATCAGAAAAAAATCAGGCACTGTGGCTTGTTGCACAATGGTTTTAATTATTCTGTCCCATTTTTTTTACATCAATTTACACTGACCACTAGTACAGCATTCTGGTTTTGGCATTGCAAAACTGCCTGCGGAGGATTTCTGAATAGGCATAAGAAATGGCATAAAGCTTTTGTTTGGTAAAATTGGGAAGCTTTGTTACAGTCGTGAGGAATTTCCACGGGTGACGTCTGAAATAGTGGCCTACTGACTGAAAGGATTTAAGTGGTATTTGCTCTGTAATAAAATTACAGAATTTTATTTTAGCAAAACGTCCAGCAGAAGGAAGATTGATTGTTCAGCCTCTGCATCCTGATCTGCCTTGGACAGAATCAACCCCAGTATTTGTCACTGTCTTTCATTTTTTTTTATCGCTGCTCCATCTCAGGGTGCAATAATCATCACAGTTTTTAACCTTCAGCATCTTCAGGATTCTGGGGAATAACACCACATGGAATCTTTTCTTGATAGTAGGAACTGTGAGTCAGCAAGCCTTTAATGTTTTTAGTTGCAGCCATTGTTCCAGCCCCAAGCTTTGCTGCCATTGTCCACTGTTTGTCCAGCTCACGTTTACTGGACTGTGGGAACGGATTAGGGTTTCATGGCTTTTTTTTTTTTCTTCTTGCATAAACTCTTGATCAAAGACATTCCTTGGATGACAAAACACTGTATACTGTGTCACACAGTCCTGACCAGACTGCACGAACAGTAGTTTAAAAACACATGCCCACATTGTTCTCTAAACTGGCTTTTTTTTTCCTTCTTTTTTTTTTTTTTTTTTTGCAATGTATGTGCAGACATTGAATTTTTGAGACCCCATTTACCTCCTTTAAAAAACACACACATAACAGAAGTTACTGTTAAGAAGCACTTAACAGTTTCTGAAATACAAGTGAAAAACAAATTACTCCTTGAAACCGAGAATCTGCGTGACAGAATTGTCACTTCTGGGCAGAGCTGGAGGTTCTCTCTGCCCTGTGTCTCCTTCCTGGGGAGACCTTGGTGGTGGTGCAGGTGCTCCAATGCTCTGTAAACCTAAAACCACGTGGATTATGCCATCATTTTATGTGTCGTATCCTAAGGTGGAGAATGATTGGAGCACAATTTGGGAATTCATAACCCTGCTTCACCACAGGTACGTTGTTAGAACCACGTGTTGAGAACCTTGACTTAACTACAGTTGTATGTCTCGGTCTTCTTTTAAGTTCTCTTTTGCAGTAAGAGCTGGACAAATTTCAGAAAAATCCAGTTGCATCATTATTCCTCAAACTAACGAGGAAGAAACAAATGGTGTTTGAGAGAAAAAACAGGGAGAGACTTTTTCAAGGAGCTTTGACTTGGCCTGAAATTCTCCTTCCGCAGAAGTGTGGCAGTAAGAGATCCCTGAAGACACCTGAAGTAGGTTTACAGAGGGATTTAGATCATATATTTAGGTGGTTGGAAGGTTGAGGATGAGAGAACACTTGTGTTTCCACAAACGTAGTGAGGCTTGACTCTGCAGCATTGTTAAGCACTTCCATGCAGAAATAAAGGCAGATTAAACCTTTTCAACATTGGAAAGATATTATCCATAAGGGGGGAACCTTTCTGATCCTTTGCAATCCAAGGGTCTCCATGGAAAGAGAAACCTGAATAATATGTGGCTGGTGGGTGTGTTGTCTAAAAGGAATAAAATGGTTGTAGTGAATGACTGAAACAGCTACAAAAATAGTGAGTGAAAACCACAGAATAGTATTACATTTATAAGAAATAATATTTAATTATGAGTAAATAATTCATGGAAATCTTGGGAAGGTGTTATGACAAGAACATAGCCGTACTTATTTAACAGGATATGTGTGCTTAAGATCAGGTCTTCATATTTAAAATAACCAGCAGCCAAATGGAAAGAACTGTGGCCTTGGGGGTGTTTGAGGAGGAAAAAAGCTGTTGGAACAATAACCCCCAGCATTCAAACGATCTGCAGCGATAAAATCTAATAAAAAGGGAGAAATAAAACATCAAAAAGCCCAATTGGCCGTGGCAGACAGTTTGCTATCAGAGCAGGGACTCGGGACACCAGGTCCCTGCTCAGGTGAGCTGCTGCTGGCTCAGCTCAGTTGCAATGCTCTGATGCTTCTTTAGTGGTCCTTGGGCAAGGATTTGCCCCTCTCAGCCCAGCTCCTTGGAGTCTGGTGCTGATGTTACCACGCCAGGCACCTATGGAATATGGCTTGTGGATGGATGAAGTGTCACGGGGCTGTCAGGTGGGATGGATAAAATAAAACCACTTAGCAACAACATATGATGTTGAATTTATTTACTCAGCAGGGCTGAGAAGGGTGAGTGGGGAGCAATTTCCATCCTGGGAGGCACTTGCTCCGTGCACAGCTCAGAGCTCCAGACCTTCCTTCACCACGTGGATCCGGAAGGTCCATGTGCCAGGTCCTGGAATGTCACAGCTCCCTTTGGTTCTTGATGCTATTAGGGATCTGTACCTGGAGCTCTCTCCAACCCCAAGGGGGGTTACCCTCTGAACCAGTTACTGCTTTATTTGTCAGCACAAGCATTTGGGATTTTATCCGAAATAAACCCAGACCGTTGTTATTTCTTCAAGGATATTACCATAAATAAGAAAAACGACGTAAGGTATAACTAAATTGAGAAGGGAGATGAAATCCACACAGATGGATTTTGTATTTTTTTTCCTTCTGCACAAGAGGGAAAATGATGGCTGTGAACACTTAGTGACTTCCCTGAAATGTGAGACTTTTCCATACTTAGCAAAAAGTAGGATAGGTCTAAGGAGGGCTCTGCAGGTGTCAGTAGGATCATCAGGAAACTTATTTCTGTTTTCACTCTTAGATGTTTATCACATTAAAGAAACAAAAAGGTAACTTCTGCCTCGCTCCTAAATTTGCTCTGCTTGGCCCTTAAGAAGCCTGGCAAGTCTCACATTATCAGTGCAATCCAGTTGACCAATTTGCAATCCCTTTCTCATCATTTGATTGGAATATTGTGTGGAACTCAGTCAAAAGCCAGATGGGAATCCACGTTTTTCGTGCCACTGCAATTACTGTGATCAGTTTTATTTGTGACATGGTAAAAATACCATGTTTGTCTAAAGAGATACATTTCTTATAAAATGATGCTGACAGGAATTCATACAAATGAATTCATTAAAGGAAATTAAATAATTCAATAAAATTAATTTACAGCTTTACTGCCTTTGTCCCACTGTAGCTTTTCAATGATATTACCAGGAATCTTCATCAGAGTGTGTAACCTGCATTTATGGGTCATTCCTGTGACTCTTTTAAAACAACAGCTCCAACCTTCACTTTCTCCTCCATCTTCTGGAGTTTTCTATCACTCAAAATGTGCCTGAATGTAAGTGGATTATTAGTTTTTACATCTAATAAATTTAGTAAAGAGCGTGTGAATTTAAATATTCATAAAAGGTCTGAGATTGTCAACTGGCCTGAATTCAGCAGTGGAACTGGGGAGTTTTTTGGGAGGTCAGTTGGAAGTTTTTCTGTGTGCAGTCTCAATTTGTTGCAAAAAAATACAGTATTTTTCCCTTTACTAAGCTACAGCATAGCCTAGCTGAACATGCATATTTTTTTACAGCCTATAGTAAATTGTTTTTCTTGCTACATTCTTGTCTTTCTGCCCTTTGCAATGTGAGTAATACTGGCATAGTTCACCCAACATTCAAATTTAGTAGTCTGCAATTGGAGGTGATGTTCAGGAGAAGGAAAATGTAAATATAAGAGCTGTCTCTGTGGGCTTAAACCTACTTAAGTCACACCACAGTCAGTTTAAGAGAGTTTATAAAACAGATAGGAATGGCAAAACCTACTTAAACTTGTTCAGCCAAACACAGGTTTACATTTCTCACTGAATCATATTTTTATCAGCAGAAGATTTTTGTCAGAAATCAAGATTCCCTGAGTGTGTCTCCACTCCATTTTCAAACATTTAAGCTCAGAGGGGTGAGCCATCAGCCTTACCAAAGCGAGTCTTTTATTTTTTTTTGAAGCACGCTGGGGAAAATGAATCATTTTTGACCCAGTCCAGTTTAAGCCTTGGCTTAGTCTGAAGTCCCCGTGAATCCAGTCCAGATCATCTTTCGGGAGCTGCTCATTTCAAGTGGAACAAAACCAGATCACGCTTGTACTGATATTACTTTACCTGCCTGAGCTCTGATTTCACAGCAGGCCACAGGGTTCAGGTTTCTGTCTGCAATGACTGGGAAACCACCAGGCTCACACGGGCTCAGCTGGGGGTTCTTCTGATGCAGATGGTTTCCCATCTTGCCCCGAGACGAGCTTATTTTGCACTAGACAATGATTAACATGTTAGATCTGAGCTCTGGAGTTTCAGTTTTCATTTCCTGTGCTGCACACACTGCACAGAATCAGTTGTAACGTGAAGTTTAGTCAATGGGAAACTCAGGAGGCAGGTACTGAATTTCTAATTTGTGACAGCAGAGACGAGCGCTTGACCTTTTATGTAGATTTTTTTAAAGACAGAAATAATTTCATAGGGTAAATAGTCAAATATGTAGGTTATAAGCTTGATCATTTCCACTCAAAATAAGCTGTTTCTGCCGTGTTCAGATCTGGTAATAATTGATAATGTGCATCCCTAGTTTTCAGAGATATTTTGGAATGCGAATTGGAACACAGGTTATAATATTTTTTCATTTAACTGTATAATAATATATAATTTCTTTTCCTCCTTGTCCTTCTAGGTCTGGTTATTTTTTACATATTTCTAGTAGGTTTTTACGCTTTTCAGGTTTAATCCCTTGTTGTCTCAGCTGTACAATAGTAGATGCAAAAGCTGTGTAGCAGAGGAAGGACAGGAAAGAAAGCAGGTTAACCTACTGCTTTTAAAATAGACTATCTTCTAAGACACAAATCCTTACACTGTTAAAAAAAAATACAAGTGTTCTGTACCATCCAGCACCTATTTTATTGACAAGAAACACCAAAGGGTATTTTACTCTGAGTAAATAAAATAAATAAAAAAAAAAATACAAATCCTTTGATGTTTAAAATAAAGTCTTCAGCTGAAAAAAGAAAATATTTTGCTTCTTGAAAAAGACACGTTTGCAGTGAGAGGCAGTCACCTGCCCACTGCCCAAAACGCCTACAGTTTCCTAAAATAACAACAAAAGGTTTTCAGCACTGAAACTCTTAAAGCACAAAGAGTCAAACCCAGAAAATATCACGTGGTTTACTCACTGCAGTGGGTAGTTACAGCCATTCAGCATTTTAAAGGCTACAAAACAAAAAATATTAAAAGAAGACAACAGGCAGACGTTGGGTTTTACCAATTTTATTTCTAGACTTTAGTTTTTTTTTTTTTTTGTTGCTGGAAACTTGTCTGTTACAGGTCTGTCGGTGAAAATGTGCATTTCAGACCAGTGATGCCAATAAGTACAATATAAAAAAAAAAATGTACAAATCTGAATTGCTTTGCTTACTACAGATTGTTATAATAACGTGACAAATAAAGCATCTCTGTTGGCACGTGAACCCACTTAATCTGGATTTGGCCTTTTTTAAGTACATAAGAATATTTTAAAAAGAAACTTGCAGTACACACTGCCACTCAGTGTAACAACATAATATAACCCCACAAGCACTAACTCGACAGTATCAGGTTTGGTTCAGAGACACAGAGATGCCACGAACAGAAGTGTTTTATGAGGTAAGCAGTAAGAAATGTTCCTGAAATTTGGACAGAATGTATCCAGTCCTCCTGGGTCCTGCGACTGCTAGTAGCATTGCAATGCTTTATTTATGCACTATGTAGGATCTTAACTGCATTTGCCTCAAAATGAGTTCTAATTCTGTTTTGGTTTAGCAGCATACAGGCAACAGCTAGATTATTCTTCAGCATACAACTCTGTTAGCTGGCTTATTTATGAGATTTACAGGCTTTTTAAATTAGCATTATGCTATAATTAAAAAAAAAAAAAACAACGAAACAAACAAACAAACAAACAAAAAAAAACCTCCCTAGTATATCATAACAGATTAAACACACAAAATACTTAGAGTTCCAGAAGATAACCTATCATACCAAATGATGTGTCCCAGCCGAGGGGAAACCACATCAGGTGGCACACAAGAGTTATATTATAATGCACCTTTCATATATCAATGTGGCTAATAACACAGCTCAAAACTACTATGATAATAAACCCCAGATCAGACAAGGAATCCAGCTTTATAAAATGCATAACAAAAACCAAACCAAAACAAAAAAAAACAAAAACCACAACCCTTGACATGACTTGATCTTCTGAAATGTCTGCTGTTTCTTAAATTAATGCAACCTAGTTGCAAATCGCGAGACCCATTCGATGCATTTCTGTTTGCAGTAGAACTATGAGGCACTGTAGGAGCATTAAAACCTGGTCTAGACACGGTTAAAAACTGAAGTAATGAGGTATTGTGAAACAGGAACCTTTTTTTTTTTTTTGGAATAGAGCAGTAATCACATTAAGTAAAAATTGATCACATAAAAAAAAAAATCTACAAAAAAAAATGATGTCAATAATATAATTTTCTATGAGAAAATTAAAACCTATAACATGGCAGTATATGACATTGTATAACAAAAAAAAAGAAAAACTGATCCACAAAATAGCAGCAAAACACAATGACAAAGATACAGAGAAGCAATGTTAATTTTTTTTTCAAACCATGCTGGGAATTTATCCATAGCAGCTCAATAAAAAGGGAGCATCCACTCCTTTTCTTTTCTCTTTTTCTTTTTTTTTTTTTTCTAAACTTTTAACTTTTTTTTCTTTTTTCCTTTTTTTTTTGTTCCTTTTTTGTTTTTTTGCTGTTTTGTTGGGGTTTTTTTGTTGGTTTTTTTTTGTTTTTTTTTTACAATCAACACCTTAGCGGCAGTTTTCTCACATACAGTTCACCATCACATTCTCCTCGAGCATCAACTTCAACAGCTATGTCCACGTCCCTTCAGCTACTTTCTAAAATAATAATAAAAAGATACATAGCCAAGATGTGCAAATTTTCTATTTGTAGCTAAATTTAAAAAAAAAAAAAAAAATAATGGGGCATATACTGGTATAAAAACTTCTTTCAAGTACTCCAATTTTCATATCTATTAACTATGGCGTTTTTTTTCATGGTTAGACTGCTTTTGAAAATGGAAAGGAAGGGGCCAAATGCACTGCTTGGTTTTGGGTTTGTTCTTTGAAGCGTGTCCTTTTTGCTTTAATAAGCTCGTGTTAAAACTGCAACATCAAGGGTAGAAAGATTTCATTTTTTTTTTTTTTTAAAAACAAAAGGGGCGATTGCATTAATTTACAAATCATACTGGCCTTACGAACATCCTCTGCAATAAATATTCTTTTTAGCCTTAACTATAAATTATATATTTTAGTGTTTAAAAACCTTCAGTTGTAAAACATCTAGCGACAATCCTTAAAACTACGTGTCCTATATGTGAACCTTTAAGGCCCCTAATTTATAAAGATGAGTTGGCACCAAAGGATTCTAAACTTCAGCTTTTCTATAGAAAAGGATAGGAAGATATCCTGGCAATTTGTGAATGCAATTTCTCTCACTGGAACACAACCTTCGGAAAAGAAAATCACTTCTCCTCTAACACCATAGTTAAATGCACTTGCTTTGCAATTCCAAGTTTGCAACAAGCACTTTATATATTTCCAAACCATTCCATTGAAAAAAAAAAAAAAATAAAATTCCCACACAATAAAAGAATGTAATTCCTATATCTAATGGACTGAAAGTGCTTTGAATGGAATGGTTTTAGAATATTACAGACAAACAAAATAAAAAAAAAAAAAAAAAAAAAAAAAAAGACTGAACCGTGGATTGAACCTGACCATAATTAGGCTGAATATCTGTGGGGTCAGACCAGCATTTTTACACAGGTAACTACAAAAATAGGAAGATTACAAAAATATAATATATTATGTCACTATTTCGGTTTCTCTTTATAATAGGGTACTGTGTGAGTAGTACATTGGCCTTTCCCAACAATGCTCAGCTGGAACCCTACAAATGCCTTATGCACAGGCAATCCACAGGCACAAAAAAAAAAAAGATTAACATATAATAATGCTGCATACTAACATAGACTAACTTATGGGTTACGTTAACCATTTATAAGGTGAAGAGGATAAAAAAAAAACACCTAAGGAAATAAAATAAACATTTACAGATGAATTATAAAGTGACTAAATGCATAAGCAAGCAAGATACAGAAAAGCCTAGAACTGCGTTAAAGCTATGCTTTTTAAAGAAAAAGAATATTTCATTTGCTATCTAAAAAAAAAAAAATAACCCTCTTCTACTTTAAAAATGGTTGGTTGGTTGGTTTTATATGCAAGAAATCAAATCTAATACCTCCCCTGGAGACATTTTGTGTGTTAATGCCTATTTTTACAACATACAGACAAGAACACTTTAATATAAAAACTAGTTGATTATTATTGTATAAAATCCTCTATTTTTGTAGCACAAACCCCTGGGGGTAATGCAAATACTATTTTTTTCTTTTTTTTAAGACAGTTTTTGGGGTACTTTTTGTTTTATTTTGTTTGTTTGAAGTCACAGATGGAAGGGAGACAGAGCGAGAAAAAAATATAACAAGAACTGGTTTTCCCTTCTGGTATAAAAATGTCCTGGAGAAAAGGGTTTCTGGGGGGGAGATCCTGACGCCGATTCCTTCTCAGATGCCCTTTCTTTTTTTTTTTTGTCTACTTTTCTTGCCAAGCAAATCCATTAGAAGAAGAAGAAGTCCTCTTAAATGTTCACATCTCGCACATCAGTGGGCGTGCAGGAAAGATCTGCTTCGTCCTCTACAGTCTTTGTTTCTGAAGATACGTTGTGCTGCTGTGCCTGACGTAGACTGGATTCAAGGAGGGACTCGATCTGTTCTTGGCAGGCTCGTAAACAATCCTGGAGGAGGTCGAATGGAAGGAGAGAAAGACCCAAGAGTCCTTTAGAAACACAGTAAGGTCACAGACTAAACAGCATTTCTTGAAAAAAAGGGCGAGAGGAATCTACTCGGGTTATCTGGGAGAGCTGCAGGCCGAGAGGAGGGCGGGAGGAGCAGGACAAACACCAAACAGGGAAAGGATGGCACGAGCCACCCAGTTTCCTGCAGGATGCCAGCCTGGATTGAGGCTTCAGCCACTGACTCTTGCCGTGTGCTGTGGATGGAATGGCCACGGGGAGCATCCCCATGGACACACCATCACTGCCGTGGGGTTGTTCAGGCTCAGCCCACAGAGCTGGATGTGGTGGATGCCCCACTGCACTGACACGTGTTTCATCTAAGCTGGGCAGGACCACAGGAAGATGTTGGACCTTTTCTGCCTGTTCTCTAGAGGTCCATTGGTCCTAAAACTGCTTTCTGCCTTTACCCCAGAAATGCTTTGGCAGTGCAGTCTACTAGAAATGATGGTCGTAAGCAGGGATTATTTTCTCAGGCTGAGTTCCAGTGATATGAAGTTCTTAGGTAGAAGCACCATACATATATTTGGATATATGTGCCCAAAGGTTCCTGCCAACTGCTGCTGTGTCCAGCAGTGGGCAGCTCAACTTGGCTGATCCTTTCCTGGCTCTGAAAGCATCTGTACATCCTGAACAATGTGACCCCAAAATGGAAAGATCTTTCAGGAGCACCACTAAACTCCTCCATAACCTTTCATTCCCAGCTGCAGCCAAGCTTTCTGTTGGCTGCCACGTTCACCTTGACATCTCAGACAGGGTGAGATCTTTTTTCCCCCTCACTTCCAAAGCATTTTCTCAGAGCTGGATATGCACAACAACCCTCCTGAGACTTCAGGAGGGTGCAAGGGCCTCGCTGCTTTCACAGACTTCGCTGTGAACTAAAAGCACAAAGCACCAAGGAGGATCATGTCTGTGGTGGGGAAAGGTAACTTCCCCCAGGCACTAAACCATTCCATGAGTAGTTATATCTAAATCACAGCAATCAGAACTGGAGAAGGCCTAGCCAGTCCAACTTTCTGCAAGCTGTGGAGCCACGTAGATCCATTGGAACGACACAGGAACGGTGCCTTACGCAGGCAAAACAATCCCACAACGTTTTGCCAAAACTGCCCCGGCCAGCTGTTTACTCCTATCTTTACAACAAACATCGCAGGCTTTTTCCCCCCAACATATTTAACTCTGTGTATTAAGGACTTTTGAAGTTTCCTTTCAGCATTGCCTTTTCTGATTTAACCTATGACATGTGTTAGCCCTGGCGGTGAACCCAGTCTTCCATGATAAATTGCCGTCAAAAGTGTTAGGATGTGCATGACTGAGAATGAATGTTGTTTTCCTGAGAGGGTGACCTGCCTGCTGTTTTCTTTATTTCCCAGTTTCAATTCTGCCTTCATTCAGAGGCTTCTTGTGTGATCTACCAGCTTTTCACTGATTCCACTACCACAAGAATCTCCTCTGCCACCAATAAGGGCACATGGCATTTGGGGTAAAATAAGATTAGAAACCCAAGCAAACAATTCTCTGCAAGTCCTTTCTGAGAGAGAGGGAGGTTAATCCTACCTCTAAGCAGATCAGACCATCAGTTACAGCTCACTGAAAACACATAACCTATGACCTTTCCTGGTTTAAACCCTAGTGTAATATTTCCTCTTGACAGAGACACACAGCGTTTTAAATGACAAAAAGAAACGCCTCATATCCTAAAGTCATCATGCCTTTGGCTCCTGCATACCTCTGGCCTCCACAATAAGGTCTCTATGAAGTCCTTTTTCCCCTCCTTCCTCCAGATATGATGGATCAATCCTGACTCTAAAACCTCGTCCTGTACCACGTCCCTCAGTCACACTTGGAATTAGATGTGTGAAAGAGGAGCACACCAATACAGGTTTTAGGTATCTCTGGTTTTACAAATCCAGGCACTTCTGAGGATAATTCTGTTTTAACAAGGTGGCATGTTCAGCGTTCCAAACTGGAAGGAAATTTATGTTCAGAGTAAAATGAACCCTTTTGGGTTTGAGGTGGTTTTGTTTTCGTTTTTTGGTTTTTTTTTTTTTTTGGTGGGGGGAGTGGATTGTCTGGTGAGTTTTGATGGGAATTTTGTTGTTTTTTTTTTTTTCTTTTTAATCCTAACCATTTGCATAGAGTGTGTTTGAGCTCTGAAAACTAAAACCATTCAAAAGAATTTCTATAAATACCTATTCTTCTCCCTCTGGAGTCCAGTTATGAATAGTTGCATAGGACTATGTAATTTAAAGGTACTTTTTGACCACAGAATTTTTTCCTTTGAGATTCTCAAGAGTGCAGCATGTCATAACTGTATTTTTTTTTAAACTTAATCTTTACAATTTATTACAAACAGACTGTTTGAAGCTACAGTTGAATGAGAACTATTTTTTCAATGTTTTAGGCATTTTGCTCATTTCTTATTCACATGACTATTAGATAAATAGTTTGCCTGCAGGAATGCATTAGAGCTAGCAAAAATATCTGCAAAATATAAAATTCGGTATGGGCAACCTCAGCAAGGCTGTTTTCATTTTCAGTGCTTCTCAGCACTGAAAAGCAAATACAGAACTTGTGCATTACTCTGATAACTTCTCCCAACAACTTTTCTGCTTCACTACCCAAATTTTCAATGCCCACAGTTTGTTCAAGGTCATAAACCCTTCCTGGATTAATTAAGCTCCTCAGTGAAAAAAAAAAAAACAAAACAAAAAACAACAAACTTGCTGGCTTAACTGATGTGGTGAAATACCTTCAAGACACAGCAGACATGATCAGACTCTGGGGTCAGATAGTAAAGGCAACAAACAACAACAACAAAAAAAGAAACTGCTTGGAAATCCTTTGTTACTGCCTGACCCGTCCTGGATAACAAGCACATGTTTGAAGGTGCCTCTGAGAAGGGGCAGGCAGGAGACGAATTCCAACGTCCTAACAGACAGCGTGGAGACCCAATCTAATCTAGTTTAGCGAATTTCTGGCCTGGAAATGAATGTCAGGTAAAATTCCATCTGTTCGGATGATGGGGTCAAGAATAGAATGATGGAAGACAGCCCAAGACTTCTAATTGTGATTATCTGGCTTCTAATTACCCCTGATCAAAGGCAAAATGGGAAATTGGACTCCTACCAAGGTAAACATGAACCATAAAGGAATTCCAATCAGGTGATATTCGTTTTACTTTAGATTCAGCTTTCCCTGAGACTAAAGGTAAAAAAGTGTAATTATGTAACCTGAAATCCAACAGACCCGCTGCTCCAGCTAACAGATAATCAGGATCTTAATATTTCAAGGCAATCCAATATAAAGCTTGTTCGCTTGTGAAGCCTGACAAGGGGGAACCACCACTGGGGAACAGCACAGTTCATACACATGCTACTGAAACAGGGCAATAGGAATGGCATTTGATACCACGGATTGCACAGATAATGGGAAAGTCTCTCTGCAGGGGAATCATGTTGGGTATGAAACCACCAGATTTCTCTGCTCAGAGCAGCTGCAGTGAAAGTTGCTGTTCCCTTGTTCCATTACAACAGTATATGTACACACACATATATAATTTTACCATGCTAATTTTCCGTAGCATCCCATATAAAAACGCTTACTCCTACCTCTAACTGCTCTAACACATGCATATATTTAGCACTGAAAGCTGCAGGGGAGTTGCTTCCTTTTAAAGCCTTTAACTGAGCTCAGGTCAGACTGTGGCCTTGCACTGACTACGGACAATAAAAAATGAAATAAGCAAAAAATTCGCTCTCTTGCTAAAACAACCCTTGTTTTCTTTTTAAAGGGCTCTTGTCATCAGCTAAGTCAAGTCACATGAGGACGTGCTGTTGTTCTCCAAGATGTGAGAGAATCTACTTCAATGCTCTGTATCAGGAATGATTAAACAACGTTGTTTGAATCAAAATACTGCCTGAACAGATAGTAACCCTAGTATTTTCCCTCGGTACCTGCTTCAAACATCTCACACTGGACAGTGGCCAACCACACACTGAAATATCTGCATTGTTCCCTGAAAGCCTTACACGTACATACCGAACTGAGCAGCGCCTTATTTCAGCATTTCAAGTTCTCAGAGCATTTCACATTTCAGCACTAATGTATTACTGCTTTAGCCACAGTAATACAAATGACAAAAACAACATGCTCAATGCCGAGGCACTGTTAAGGTGATCAAAATGATAAGCTTGAGAAATTGTATTTTTCAGCCATTGTTTCACATATTCTATCAAAGGTAAAATAATTCTTTTGTGAGTATTCAGTTATGATGCATTCATCTTTCCAGAAATCTCTCAGTCCTGCCAACAAAGTCCCGTTATACAAACCCAGTTTTGCAGTGGCTGGACTGGTACAGTTCTCTGTGCATTTAAAATTATTAACATGTAAAATAATTGAACAGCATCTCAAAGGTTCTGCCGCTAACCACAGAATTGTCTTTATTTGACTCATTGTCCAGCGCTTGGAGACCTCACAAGAACCTTTTTAGAGCATCTATTTATTGGTCTTCCACATTGTTACAAAACAAAGCTCAACTCTGCCCCAACTTCACACACCATTATGACATGGATCATTGACTTTAGGTCTTCCTTGTAGGCTCCCTTCCTGGCCCATTCACTCATGAAAGGTTTATTGCTCACTAGTTACTGATGTGCATCTCCTGGAAGCTGCAGGGCAAAATGAGAGTCCTGTGAGGACCATCTACCTTGTCAGAAAGTCGTGGGACAAGCATTTGTTCCAAAAAGGAATTCAATACCAGCTACTGTGCAGGTCTAGCACGTAATAAACCAAATTAGATCATTAGAACTCTTTTAAGAAGGGCTTTTTCACACCACTTGGCACAATAAAAGGCCTCGAGAATGGTCAAAGATAAGGTCAGAGATACCACGAGGTCTCAGTAACTATTTCCTCGTCTTATTCTCCAAGTTTTGTTTTACACAGACTCCTGGTTTAATTACCCACAGCCAAACAGCCCCTGCAAGGTCCTAAATGGATGCAAGGCTTTGTCAGATAACGCCTCTCTCACACACTTTAGAGCTGGATGTGGCACTGCAGCAGCGTAATCACAGATTATTAATGGATATAATGACAGCCAAATAACCAGGATGGACACAAGAGAACACATTCAAAAACCCCACTCTGAGGTTTGACTTTCATCAAGATTTACTGTCAGATTAGCTACTATGCAGCGAGCAGGGGGGGGTTCATTCTTAAAAAACAGGAGATCAACCAAGAGAAAGAGTCACTTACCGGATCACATTTGATAACTTGTGATAGGAAATGTGTGAGGCATTGATAGGAGAGGAAAGTGTTAGTGTTCCCCAGATGCAGGCCTTGCACAGCTGCTACCACACTGCCAGCTGCGATCATGGAGGGTGGGTTTGAAATAAATTTAATATCTGTATGAAGAAAGGAGAGAAAACAAAAAACAAAAAAAACACAAAAACAAAAAGAGAAAAAAAAAAAAGACTGAAATGATTGCTTTAGGAGAAGCCTGTCCATACACATACACTCTTCTACCAGCATGGCTTTCAGCTGCCAACTATTGCATCCCAAAAGGCAGGGAAAGCTGGGAGCAGAAAGGTGCCTCCTGCTCCCAACTGTTACAGGTCCGAACCTGTGAACACTTATCCACATGAGCAACTGCAGTGCAGTGAGTAGCCCTTCCTAGCACTCCCCCTGGGAGGCCATTCATCACTTGGAGGTATTTTTATCATAAGCAGGGCCCCCATTCTTCAAATGTTAAAATGCTTTGCTCATGTGGATAATGCCACTGGGGTCAATGGCACTATCCATCCTGTTCCCGTTGGGAAGTGTTTCGCGGGATCAGACCCGAGGTGCACTCTCATAACGAGTCCTCGGGCCCTTTAAAGCAGAAACCTTTGCACTGACATTCAAAAGGAATATTGCTTTAATGAACAACAACATCAACCAAAAGAAAGAGAAGAGAAAGACTGCTTAACCCTGTCAGGAGGCAGATAATCCATATTTAAATTACGGTTTCATCTTAAAAAATGCTTTGTCTCAACCTAGTCTCTTGTCAGTGGCTGCCATCCATCCTGGCAACAGGGATTTAATGTAAATGTGGCATAACTAAGTGACGGGGGTCCCAAGAATTGGCGGACAATCAGTTACATTCTGATGTGACACCATGCTGACAAGAGGCTGGGCCCCCTTCCAGACTGCATTGCTGTAGGTCTCTCCACAAAGCCACTCCCATGATTCCTTAAGGGGCTATCTCTGCCATTTAGCATGTTTTTCGTTTTGTTGTTTTGTTTTGAGGGTGGTTTGTTTGGTTTGGTTTTTTTAAATAATAATAATAATAATAATAATAATAATAATAATAACCCCCATTTTAATGCTAAGACTCTGCTGAGCAGGAATGTGTTTGATCTGTGGCAGTGCACACCTTGGGAGGAGAATCAGAAACAAAGGAAGTGGCACAAGTAAACGTCCAATTTTGTGAGGGAGTAAGGGAAATGCCACATTGTACACGAGAACCTGAGATACATTCCTTCAGCTTTTATCAGAATACAACTTCCTCTGGGCTGAAAAAAATATAAACCATCTGTCAAACCCTTGAATGAAATCAAAGGCATGGACAGCTTAGAGGGCTCAGTGGAACAGTTTAAGTATTAAATCATGCATCTCCTTTATTATGATAAAATAACTTTTGTGTCAATGTTTTACCAGTGAAACTAAAGACTTCAGGACTCCATGAAAGTCCTGGCTCTGAGTCTATTCAGACACCTCTGGCACTCCATTGTGGCCCTGACCAATACCCACCTTCAAAGGGGCATTTCGCCCAGCGAACCTCCAAAATTACAACTGACACGATGAATTCTGGCCAGATTTTTGTGATGCAGTGCCAGGGAAAAGGCAAGCTCGACCTAAAGTCATCTCATTTGTGTTACTGTGCTTAAAGGTAAATTTAGTTTATCCCCTTTTCCTAAAATCTGCCCATTTCCGGGCAGGTGTAAACACATCCAGCTTCCAGCAAGCTGCTGTCATTCCCAAAAACCAAAGCAGTCCAGGCTGCTCAGTGACAACTGTACACATTCCAAAGGCAGTCCCTAACCGGAATACTGACACACAGCTGCAGGTAGACTTCAGGAATGGGGCATTTCAGTAGGCAAGCAGGAATCCCACCGAGATGGGGTTGCAGCACGTTCACGACACTATTTACCGAGCTCCACAAACAGAACATGACCAAAATGTGTCAGTTTAATGAGTTCTGTCCTGACAGGACCACGTTTGGGATTAATATTTGCGTTCTTCTTTTAAATGGAGCAGTAAACAAGAACATGAATTCATAGTCACACCCTCATTCTTTCCAAGGTGGAAAAGTGATAATGAAGTTTAAATGACCAGTTTGTGTCTGTCCCTATAACCACTCCAGACAAGCAGCATGGACTGCCTTTTTGTTGCAACTCAACAAGGAATTATTTGTGGCAGAGGCCACTAATTTCAGCATATTAATCAGGGGGCCCCTCTCGCCTGTAATTGGATGCCCCCAAGTGAAGAGTGTGGCATCATTGTCAGCCTCCATCGCCTCATCTTGCGCTATTGAGCGCTCAGGAACAAGGGGGCTTCGGTGAGATGAATTAGACCTGACACAGCCACAATGGGGTAGGGGGCCCCATCAATTGAAGCACACATCCCCAGTAGCCTATCTGAGACTTCATCCAAAAAGAATAAACAACTTCAGCGTTGTTAAAAAGAGAGAGAGAGAGAGAGAGAGGAGGGGGAGGAGAGAGAAGAATGCCAGCCACCCTGAAGGGAGGACAAAGCAGGCATATAGGCGCTGCAGCGCTTTAAAAAAAATTCCTAACAAGGCGAGTCACCCCTTTTCCTTTTTAAATGGAGCAGCAATTCCATCCGTCTGGAGAGCTGGGGGCTATGAATGAAAATCTTTTCATTGAGGCAAATCAAAACTGCGAACATAAATCACTTGCTGCAAGATGCAACAGGTTCCAACTGGTCACATACCTTGAGACTTCCAATTTTATAAAGGCCGGAGAATAGGAGGATTGTAACGCGCTTGTTTCAAAGGGGGGACCTTTCTTTCTCCGTCAGCAATGACAATAATAATAGCAATAATAATAATAATAATAATAAAGAGGAGCCTGGTATGTTTTGATAACCAGAGGAACATAATGAAATGCTGAAACTCCAATATTTGTTGCTATTCATTGTTATGCTTGTATAGAGCTGCAGTTCTCCCTCAACACTGGTCTTAACTTGGGCCAAAAGAGGCCTGCTTCCTTTTGAGCTCTCCCTGCCTTGCTCGGCCATGCCAAAGCCCCATTCATTAAGCTCAATTATGTGTTAACTTCAAACAACCCCTGGTAATTTTTTTCTTTTTTCCTTTTTTTTTTTTTTTTGCTTTTTTCTTTTTTTTTTTTTTTTGCTTTTTCTCCCGAACCTACCACAGCACAAAGACATCCTTTGGTGAAAATGGATTTTTCAAAACCAAACCAAATCAAACAAATCCACTTCTACTAGCCAGACAACTGAAGAGGGAGCTTAAAAGGAATTCCCCTCAACTTCACCTTGCAGCGTAACCTCCTCTTTCTGGAGCAAACACATACAGCACTCATCTGCAAACACTTCCACAGCCTTCACCTTGTTAAGCCAACTGGCCAAGGCTTTATTTTCTAAGCAAGCATTGTTCTGCAGTCTCTTCTTAGGAGAACCTCCTTTACAGAAGAGGACACAGGCAAAGGATAGACTTGCACTTGCCCCTGAGGCCACTTAAGCGAGTGTCAGTGTTTCCAGTGGACTTTGGATTGGGCCCCACAGCATCCAGGCAGCACAACGCGTTTGCAGTCCATCTCGGTTCATTTTGGCAAGGGGAAACACAACACAACCCAGCAACAGCAAAGCAAAGTCCAGATGCTGCTTAAGCCACATGTGATCTTCACTAGCCAACAAAGAAGGCGTGAGGAAAGCAAAAAGGTAAGAGGAATTCCTGACATCCAAAAATAACAGTTAAAACCACAGAGCCTGGTGGCAGCCTTCCTGAGCGCTGCTTCCCCAGGCAATACTCCCAGCTTCAGTAGGGAGCTGAAGAGGGCCCCAACTCTGGTGAGCTCAGCACTGGGGTTTTTTTTTTTTTTTTGTAAAAAGCTAAGTAAAACTCCCAGAACATGGTTCTCATTTACTGATCCATTCTCCAGCTGTGGTGTGTAGCAATGTTAAATAAGGGCTCTGGATGTGCTTCCTAAAAGAAACATAACAACACCAACAGTAGATCAAAGTACTGGACTCTTAGCGAGTCTCCAACCTTTGAACTACCCTTGTTTTCATCCCTGTCATTGCCAACACAACAACCTAGGTTAAACATCCCCATATCCAAAGGGGAGGCCAGGTAGCTGCTCCTTTTAGCTAAAGGCCGAGGAAGCTTCACACTTAGCAAACCCCACGTTCAGAGTCGCTGCAGCCTTATCTGGCAGGACCTGGCAGAGTTACATTTGAGAGTTACACGGAGAGTTACAATTGATTTTCCCAAAATGCTGCTGCCTTGTGCTTTTGAAGGCTGTTTGGAGGCTGCAGTGCTCCTAACACCGAGCATTATTCCAGGCAATCTAACCTGTTATGCTGATGTTAGGGCCAAGATGAAGAGCAACACCAGTGTTTATAAATTTCTCTTTTATGGCTCGGTCATTCTATCTTTAGGCCTTGCAGTAAGGGCAAGGACTCCCAAGAAATAAATTTTGGTGGGTTTTGGTTTTTTTGGTGTGTTTTTTTTTTTTTTCTTCTCAGCGCCTACAATCATTCTTCCATCTTTTCACACGAGGAAACTACGCGGCATTAAATCTGCGCCGCTGGCCACGCGCACGCGTCTCCCCCTCCGAGGTTTTTCCAAAGAGTGTGGATACCACTAACTCGGCATCTCTGGAGGCCCGGCCCTGCTCATGGCTCCAGCACAGCACGTGGTCAGGAGGGTGCAGATGGCAGCGGCTCGGTCCCGTGCCAGGAAAGCCTCTGTGCCGCGTGGCCCTCCTCCAATCCACCAGCCACCGAGAGGGGAGGGAGGGGGGGGGTGGAAGAGGCAACTTGAAGAGGGAAGTTTTAAAACCCCCCGCGCGGAGCTATTCACAGGCAAAAAAAAAAAGAAAAAAAAAAATCTCCCTGCCCGCCTTTAAAAACTGTCTCAAGAATGAATCCACACGCGGGGAGGGATTCCCCCGTAAGCCTTTTTGCAGCCCCCCGCATCAACCCGGTGCGTGCGGGAGGGCGAAGAAATCCTGCCACGCTGAGAGGGGGCGGGGGGGCGGGGGGGGTCCTTCTCCCTCCCTGACAAGAAGCACAAAACTCCAAAAGCTCAGAAGGCTAAATATCTTCTGGAACAACAACAACAACAACAACAGCAAAAAAACTTACCTCTGGCAAAGTAAATCCACCTTCTGCAAACAAGGGGCAATAATCGGGGCTTAAACTACCTCCCCGCAGCTCTGGCGAGCGCGCCTTAGACCACGGCTACGGGAAGCTTTACAAGGCGGGGGGTGGGCGCGGGTCGGGGAAGCAAAACACGCTTTGCGGGACGTGCAGGGCTCATACCTGTAGCGCACAGAGCCACAAAAGTCTGAGCATGTTTACGGATGATCTGCTTGGTGTCCTCTGCCAGAGGCATTTTAGTGAGGAAATGTTCAATGAAATCGTGGGGGGTCATTGCGGCCAGATTCCATTTCAGCTTATTCACCAGCAGCAGCTCCATTTGCTGCAAAGAGAAAGAGGGAGGGGAAAAGGAGGGGGGGGGGGGAGGGAAGGAGAGAAGAGGAAGGGGAAGAAGAGGGGGGAGAGCGTGGTTAGAGAGCCGCTCGCACACGGGCGCACCGCGGCGGGGCCGCTCGGCTCCCGGCCGGGCTTGGGAGGGCAGAGTTTTCCCCGGGGGAAGAAGGAAAGCGGGATGCGGGTGTTTTTTTGGGGGGTCCCCCCAGGCGGGGCCGGGGGCTCCGGGTCGCCGCACCCCCGAGCGGGGCCACCAGGGGGAGCCCGCGGGCCGCCCACGGGGCCGGGGGAGCGCGGGGGGGTCCCGGTCCCTATCCCGGCCCCATCCCCGTCCCGCTCCCTATCCCAGCCCTCCCGAGCCTCCGCAGCGGCCACACCGCCAGCAGCGGGGCTTCCGAATACACCGTCTTGGCCTGTGTGGTTGTGTTCTTTCTTTTCCCCTTTTTTTTTTTTTTTTTTTTTTTTTTTTAATGTTTGTTTCGATTTTGGTGTTGTGGGGTGTTTTGTTTTTTTTTATTCTTGAAGTGACTAAACGTCAAATTACCAGTAATTCGTCGGGTCTAATGGAGTTATCTGTATAAATGCACAGTTTTTCTGCGGTCAGAGGAATAGTCTCCTTCATTTTTGAAGCCACAAACATGCAGGTAGCTCCGAGCAGTTGCAACCGGCTTTTCTTGAGGGGTTCAAACGACAAAAATCTGTCCAAGTAATTCATAGCCAAGGGGAAAACTTCCTCTTCGCACTTTTGCTCCTCGCAAACCTGAAAGAAGGAGAGAGATCGTTGAAGAATAATTTAATAGAGGCGAAAGCCAGGCTTGTCCCGCTGCCCTCGCCCTCCCTCCTCCCTCACCCTCAGGCTTTGCAGGGCAAGGTTGAAGGAGACGAGGGGAAAATGCAATGGGGGAAAAATGGATAAATATGGGAAAACCAGCGGCATCAAAGAAAATGAAAGTCACGAGTGACAAAGTGGGGGGAAATGTTGCGTTAGAAACCCGCAGGCGATTCATGGCAAAAAGGGAGGGGGGGTAATCGAAGAGGAGGTCTGTGCCCAGTTTTCCAGCCCCTAGAACAAATTTTTAAAAAGGAAAGAAAACGGAAAGCGGAGGAAAATGCAAACCCCCGTGGTTGGGAACGGGGTGCAGAGCTGGGCTCGGCCCCGGATTTATTTATTTCGCTTTTATTTTTTCATCTAATTTGCCGTTGTGCTGCCGATTCCCCTCTCTGGTCGAGACACAAAGGTGGCGTCCAGCCTCATTTCCCCAGACGTCATCTTTTCAAAAAATATTTAAAAATATTTAAAAATTTATTTGAGCTCTCAAAAAAGGCTGAAAATGAAGCGGCGGGGGTCCTTTACCGAGCCCCGTTCCTCTGGTGCTGCTGGGGGGTTCCAGGGGGGTCCCCCGAAGTGAAATTCACCGCCTCCCTCTCTCGCCCTGCAGCACAGCCGGGCGCGACATTTCCCAGAGCAAGGCAGGGCGCTGCGCTTTCAAAAATTAATTAAAAATACATCGCGGGGGCCCAGGGCTTCCGAAAAGGCATGAAAATGTAGCCCAGCTCCTGGGGCTCCCGCTGGGAGCCCCCCCAGACGTGTCCCGCCAGGGACGAGGCCCTTTCCAACTGGCTTTTCCCAGGCGACCTTGCCGCTCGCCGCCGCAGCACAAGCGTGCCTTTGAGGGGTGACCGCAGCTCCAGCCTCTCTTCGCGCTGAACAAAGAAACTTTCACCCTGCAACTCCCCCCAGAAACGCCGGAGCCCCTCCGGCCGGTCCCCCTGCCCGCAGCCCCAGCGGGGTCCCCCGGCCCCCCGACCTTCCTCCCGCGGCCCCTTCCCCCGCTCCCCCCCGCCACACACACACACACACCCTTGGCTTTGCTCCCCGGGACTTTCTTCGTTTTTTCTCCCGATTAATAAACACTTTTGCTTTGCAAATAAAAGAACAAAGATGGCGCATAATACTGGCACGGGCAGCCGCTTGCATACGTGTACAAGGATATTAATTTAAAATAAAAAAACCCCCCAGAACACACGGGCTGGCAGGGGCGGGCGCCGCCGGGGGCTGCGGGGCCGGGGCCGCTCCCCGGCGGGCCGGGGGAGCCCCGAGCCGGCTCTGCCCGGAGCTCCCCGCAGCCGGGACCGCCGTGCCCCGACGGCCGGGAAAGGTGCCGGGGCACCCCCAGACCGCCGGGGGCACCGGCAGGGTTGGGGTGTGTGTGTGGGGGGGGTGTTCCGTGTCCGGCGGCGGCAGCGGGGACATGGGGCCGGCGGCGGCGGCGGGGACATGGGGCCGGCGACAGCGGCGGCGACCGTGTCCTCGGGCCGCTTCCCCCCGGTACACGCGGGCGTTTTCGAGGGCAAGACAACGTGTGCCCGCGCCGGGGAACCGATCCCAGGGGACGGGATGGGGGCCGGGGGGTGGGGGGGGCAGGAGATGGGGGAGCAGCTCCCCGGGTTAATTCGTTTCGGTGCCGAAGCTTTGCAAAAGGGAAAATCCCCCGAAAAGATACGAACCTCCAGCATCCAAGTGGCAACTATTTTCCTCATATATGGCAAGATTTCTTTCTGCACGCACTTGAAGTAGGAGACGGAGGGCGAGCAGGTCTCCTCCGCCTTGAGCATTGTCTGCAGCACCCTGTCATTGAGGAGGTTGGCATCCAGGTAGGCTCGTCGGATGGTCTCCACCTCGCAGCACAGCAGCTGATGTTCCATGTCTGCCTCCGTCGCCTCGAGTCAGTTCTCTGCAGCAGGACTGAGTCAGTCGCTCGCTCGCTCTCTCTCTTCCCCTTCCAGGAGTCCCTTGGATGCTGCTTCTGCTACTGCCGCTACAGCCCTCTGGAGGCTGCAAAACTTTCTAACTTCCAACAAAACTCTCCTGTATAGTCCCTGTGACGTTACTGTTGTTAAGCAGAGATCAAAGCACGAGAGAGAATGAGAAAGAGAGAGAGAGAGAGCCAAAAGCAAGGGGCAGAGCCCTAAAGCCATCCCATAGGCTTCAAGTCCTTCCCCTTTGCCTAGCTTATAGAGAGCCGGGGTTTAATGCAAATGAGACAAGGGCTCGCTTTCTTCAAGGGCAAGGGAGAGGTGGGGGAAACCCAAATTGTCTCTTCAGTGGATCATGCATAATTTTAAAAATGGAGCGAGTTCTGCACTGGGAGCCAAATGATGAATGGGGCTAAGGCCACACACAGACACCAGGGAGGGAAATACAAGGAGACTCGGTATTATTTTACGGGGGCGCCGGGGAGGGGAGCGGAGCAGTTACCAGTGCGTTGCTGTTCGTTATAAATTTATTAGTATTATTATTGCTGTCACCGACGTGTACCTGCCATATCTGTCCTTTGAAAAGACACACTCCCAACCTGAACGCCTACTCTTTGTAGTTGATCCCAAAGGGAAAAGCTTTCCCCCGTTTCCTCACTCCTATTTTTTTCCCAGCCTGGACGGTTTTGCTGCGCACCAAAACCTTTAAAGGACTGGGGCGCCCACACCTCTGCCAAGATGGTTCTTTTTCTAATATTCCATAATTTGCTTAATTATTTTTTTTTTTAATTATTAACGTGTTTCCTTTCACTTTAAAGGTTTCACCCTCCTGAGGGGGCACGGAGGTGGCAGGGGACAGGGCAAGGAGAGCTGATCCGGCGGCAGCGCACGCGGGGAAGGCCGCGCTCGGCACCCAACCCCCACGGCTCACAGCCACCCAGAAATAAAATATCCCAGCAGAGCAGCAAAATGGTGGCCAGGGCTTCCTCCAGCACCTACAGGGAGATGAGCTGGGGGAGTGGGAGGGAGGGAGGTGCTGGCAGCCGCCGGAGCCTGCTGGGGCCTCATCGGACGTGCCGCGTCGCCAGGACAGCCTGTCCACGCGTGATGTGGCCCTGCCGTAAATAACTCCCATTCCCCGGCCCAGCTGCCTGTATCTGAAAACGCTCTGCTTTGCCTTTTCTATTAAAAAATAGTACCCTCTAAACTCTCACTTTTTGAGGGGCTGACAGGGGAGCTCGAGGCCCGCTGGAGAGCGCCGGAGGTGAAGCCAATGCCTGGGAGAAACGAGCTGTCCTGCACCGAAGCGGAGTGGGGAGAAGTGGGAAGGCCATAAATTGGGGTTCACGCTGCCTTTCTGCTGCCTGTCCCTCAAAACAGGAGTGCTGGGATTAACCTCAGCCTCGGCACTTTAGCATCACCCAGGTGCTGCACCCGATAGCTGGAACATCTTCTGGTGGCACCACACTCAGGGCAGCATCGCCAGCCGGTGTCAGGGCAGCAGAAGGGGCTTCTGGCCACGGAGGACACGCCGTGGAGGACATGCTGTGGGAGGACATGCCATGGAGTCACACAGCATCTCTCCTGCGTGACCTGCAGGGAAAGCAGTGCCAAAGATCACAGGGCATGTTGTTGCACAGTTGGGTGTTTACATAATCTCTGTGCACGGACTGTCTGCCCATCTTTTCTAGTTTACTCGTTTGCTTGACCATTTGTCTCCATTTTGTCTTCTGTCTGTTAGGAGGAGGAGGATGTCGGAGGCCCCACGATCTCAGTTCCCCTTGCATGCCACAGCCCCTGGGGCGACCCGGAGGGTTCCTCGGTGAGGAAGCCGTGCCCTGTCCCTCCGCCTGTCCTATTGTGCTTCACGCCCAGGACGTGCACTTCTGTTTTCACAACTTCAGCCGGCGGGGAAGGTTTTCAATTTTTAACGGAGAAACACGCCACGACCCTGCACTCTCGGGCTGGAATTGGCCCTTCCCGCAACGCGCAACCCGGCGACCCTATTTAACTGACTTCCATGCACAACCCAGGGACCCTATTTAATGGACTTCCCGGCACTCCCAACACTCTTCTAAGGAGCAGCTTGAGGGCGTGCAGGGAGAGCCTTTGGGGCAGCCGCTGGATGGTGCCTCTCTGCCTCCGAACAGTCGCTCCTGGCCGCGTTGCGCGGAGCGCGGCTCCCGCTCCCCCTCGCCCGGCGCTGCACCCGCGCCTCGGCATCCTCCGCTCCCGGTCCCTCCCGGTCCCCTCCGGTGGGGCAGAGGGGGGTTTTTCCCCCCCTGCCCGAGCACGCGGCCGGTGTTTCATTCATAAAAGCGGCTGCGCGGCGGGCGGGCGGTGCCGGCGGCGGGCGGGGCTGGCGCGGGGCCCGCGGAGCCCCCGCGGGGGCGGTGCGGCCGCAGGAAGCGGCGGCGGCGGGAGCCAATGGGGCCGCCGGGGCTGTTACCGGGCGGGACGGGCAGATCTCGGACGGGGCTCCTTCCTTCGCCCGGTCCCGCCGACACACAAAGGGGGACGGGCTGGGGCATCGCAGCCGCGCTGGTGGCACCGCCGCGCTCGCCACCCCCGCAGCCCTCGGGGGCGGCCCCGCCCCTGCGCCCGGTGCCCGCGGTCCTGGGTGCGCTCTCGCCCGCCGCGGGGTGCGCGCTGGGCGGCAGGGACGCCTCCTAAGCCGCGCATCCCGCTCCGGCACGGCGCTCCCGCGGGATGCGGGATGCGGGATGCAGGATGAGCGCTGCTGCTGCTGCTGCTGCCGCCGCCCCGGGGGCTTCCGACGGCGCTTCCTTCCTGCCCGCTCTCCCTCCCTCCCTCCTTCTCTACCCGCCGCTCCCCTCCCCGCGGCGCCCGCCCGCTGCCGGGGACGCCGCCACTTTCTCATGATGTCATCCCGCCCCCGCCCGGTGCGCGGCCCCGCCGCCGGGAGCGCGGCCCCGCCGCCGGGAGCGCGCATTCCTGGCGTGCCGCCCGCCCGCCGTAATGTCGCGAAGAGCCGCGCAGCACCGGGGGGGGGGGGGGAGCGCCCCGTCGGGGAAACGACCCCCCGCTCACCGCCCCCCTTCCCCTCCCACCGCACCACCCCGCTGTGCATCTGGAGATCTGCGTCCAGTTGTTCTGCGCTCCTCGGTGCGAGAAAGACGAGGAAATGCTGGCAGGGGTCCAGCGCAGGCCGCGAAGATGATAAGGGGTCTGGAGCATCTCTCTGATGAGGAGAGGCTGCCTGTTTAGTCTGGAGAGGAGAAAACTGGGAGGGGATGTCATTAATGCGTATAAATATCTCCGGGCCGAGTGCCAAGAGGATGGTGCCGGGCTCTTTTTAGTGGTGCCCAGCGACAGGACGAGGAGCAGTGGCCATAAACTAAAACAAAGGAAGTTTCCCTCAAACCTGAGGAAGAACTTCTTTACGTTGCGGGTGGCAAAGCACTGGGACAGGTTGGCCAGAGAGGGCGTGGAGTCTCCCTCTCTGGAGACATTCCAAACCCACCTGGATGCATTCCTGTGTCACCTGCTCCAGGTGACCCTGCCTGGGACTGGGTGATCTCCAGAGGTCCATTCCAACCCCAGCTGTTCTGCTGTCCCTCACCTCCATCCAGTGCTGACCACAGCCATGGCCAAAACCACAGGGCAGCTGTGTGGGGCCTGTGGAATGAGGAATTTGAAGAAGCAAAACTCACAGAAAGTTTCTCTGGGGGAACCATCGCCAAAGCTGAGGAGAGGCACAAGTGTGGGTGGGAGGGAGGGTGAGAATGGCCAGGGTGTCCCGAGGTGAGGAGGTGTCACTGGTGGGACTGACAGATCCAGAGCCAATGGAATTTAGCTCAAGTTTGTCCTGGATACTGGAGGTAAGGAAGTGGAGAGGAGAGGCAAAAGGGCTAAGGGTAGGGGAAATAAAAGGAGGGAAATCTTTCTTCATCAAGGGGAAATCTGTTTGGCCATGGCAGAAATGCGCCAGTGGAAGGACAGGCACCAGAGGAAGCCTGGGAGACAGTAACAAGGTGAGTAAACAATGTCCTTAAGCAGCAACATCCTCAAAGTGAAAGTGGTTCCGTGGAAAATATTTTGATTTTGAAAAGAGCAGCTACAGTTTGTATTTTGCTCAGCTGACAGTATGTTTTGGTAACACAACAGCATGAAAATGACTGACATGGATACTGGTGTTTGATAGGGATTTGTGAGCCATGAAAAAGCATGTCTTAGCCAGCCAGAGCATTGAAACTTGATTTACAAGGTAGAAAAGGAACATTTTCTCCATTCCCCACAGTGACACTTGCTCTGTGTAGTATGGCAAGGCAATTTAAAGGCACATTATAAATACTGCTAGAGGTTATCTTGTTGAATTGGCTTTTGTTAGTAGGTTTTGAAGAGCAATGTTACTGTTTTTCATCGCTCTTTTCTTCAATATTGCAAACCAAAAAGCACGGGAAGATGATCGGTGGCGATCGTAGGTTCAGATCTGCTCCCACTGAAGTCGGCACTGATTGGGTTGCTGTAACAGGGCAGATTGCTGATGGGATGATGTGCTTGGGGCGGGGCACAGAGAGTTTACTGGAAGGATCCCAACTCTGTGTTAGTCATGAATGGCAAAGCCCTCATCAAATTTTGCAGAGTACCTTGCAGAATTCCCAATAGGTGACAGTAAGTAAGTAAGTATGTATCACATACACTGCAGAAATGCTGTTTCAGGAAAGTTTTAAGTGTCTTCTTCTTATAGTTTGTCTCCCTCTGCCATAAAAAGATGCACCAGTAATCATGATCCAGACTCTCGGGTAGGCTGGGCTGGTGGGGTAGCTCCATGGAGGCAGATTTGCTCCCTGGCTCCAGAGAGAGGTGGCTGCAGGGATCAGTGCACATCCCTCTGCTCTCTTCTGTGCAGTAAAAAGATGTGATGATAGCAGCTTATTTTGGGGCTCTCTGGTCTAAATACCAATGAAATCTGGTATGGTTTTTGTCACTGTCTCCACCATCCATTCTCCAGCTTTCCCAGAGTCCATGCAGCCACACACTGCACTTCTCATGTCAGTCCACTGCCCTATCCACTCTTTTTCCACTTGCCTGAAAGTGGTAAATCTGCTCGCAACACACCCTCTGAGTAAAAGTGGTCCAAATAACCTCTGGGGCCAGGTTTTTGTGGGT